GTTTGTCACTCATTTCGGGTAGGGTACGGGTAGGGAACGGGAACCCGTACCTGGCCGGGTACGGGTACGGGTACGCATTTGCGACCATGGTGCGGCCGGGTACGGGTACGGGTAGGCCGTGAGTCACTGGTGAGTCACCGTTTGTCACTCATTTCGGGTAGGGTACGGGTAGGGAGCGGGAACCCGTACCTGGCCGGGTACGGGTACGGGTACCGATTTGCGACCATGGTGCGGCCGGGTACAGGTAAGGAATCAAAACCCGTTTGGGACCTCTGCCTGTCGCTCCCGTCTCTTACTTCGCAATCGTGACCCATTAAGCACAACTATTGCTGCGGCTGGGAGAAGTTAAACAGAATTACCGTCACTATTTACATGACCGACGTTTCGCGTTACCACCACGACAAGCGAGCCGCGTAAACAACTCCTCCCATCGGCATCAGCGGCGGACATGGTCAATCTACTGCTGGATGAAGCCTGTCCAGACATCGTTGCGAACTACAGCCGGTGAAACGCACGCACACACACGTTCAACTCTTTTGTCGTTGTAAAATACGATAGCGAGTCAACTTAGAAGACGACGCGTTTGACTTAATTTTGACGATTGTACAACAAAAAAACCACTTCCGACGCGACTGGGCCAATAACAGCTGTTCTATAAGAGGCGACGTTCCGGGCAACGTCCCTTTCTCGTTGCACAAGACGACTCCGCGGCGGTTCACCTGTCAAGGGGTCGAAGGCTGCAAAAGTGTCCGGTGTATTGCCACCGTGCGTAGTTCCACGCGACCTACGAACAGCACCACCCATGTTGGACAAATCCTTTGGTGGGAAGCTGGAAGGGGGTGAGGGGTGGGGGCTAGGGAGGTCCCCCCCTCCCCCCCCTCCCCCCCCTCCCCCCCATTGACGACCACGTGACACCTCCGCGCGCAGCCAATGAGAACGCGATGCGCACGTGGCAGCATGGGCCCCGTTTTTGAAACAAGATTTGTCGACGACCACGGCAGCATCGGCAGAAAATAATCATCGATCATCGATTATTCTTATTACTGACATGGATCATTACAGCTTCTTGATTCTTTCGGTAAAGTCACGTAGAAGGGAAGTAATACAATAATAAAAAATAAAACATGATAAAATAATTCTCACGACGTTTCAGCCACAACGCAAGCAGCCGTCCTCAGGTGAAGAACAGGTCTGTCGGGGAGACAGCGTCTGAATGTCTCCCCGACAGACAAAATACAATTCTCTGACAGACCTGTTCTTCGCCTGAGGACGGCTGCTTGCGTTGTGGCCGAAACGTCGTGAGAATTATTTTGTTTTATTTTTATTATTTTATTATTTCCCTTCTACGCGACTTTACCGAAAGAACCAAGAAGATGAATCTCTGCAGTCACGAAAGCTTTAAATCGAAAAATGGATCATTACAGTTTAACAGTAGTAGGCTTTCGCGACTAATATCCATAATAAAGGTTGTTGTCTTTTTCTTCTTTAGGTTACACTGCGTGGATATGAATGCGTCATTAAACCCGCCATCACCGCACACGGCCAATTTAGTTAGGTTTTGTCACGAAAACGAAACGCGCCAATTAACTACGAATACAGCACAACGGTGTGTCGATGAGTAAACACAACACATTTACAATTCAAGGACTGTGACGTTTCGCTGGTGATTACAACAATAACAACAAGCTTCTTCAGGCAATTATCCAGAATTGTGAAGGAGTCTTCCGGGTTCGGTCTTAAATAGAGTAAAGGTGATGTCATCACTGTGAGCCTATCAGGTGCAAAGACCAGAGGGGGGGGGGTGGAGGGGGTTAATGTCATGTAAATTACAATGGATCATCATTGGAACCTCCTTTGCCAGTAGCAAAATATAATTGTTTTTTTTACCCTTTTATCAGGCAACAAAACTGACACCTTTTTTACAAGGAGTCATGTTTGCATAGACCACAATACCTGCAGTCAGGATGCAAACAAAAAACATAACTCTGATAATGTATGCACTGTCCTTGAAGTTGATTGGTCCACACCCGAGACAGCCTTTTGGCGTCATCTGGTCCAACACCATGTGAGACTAGGCTCTAAGGAAAGCTGTCTCGGGTGTGGACCAATCAACTTCAAGGACAGTGCATACATTATCAGAGTTATGTTTTTTGTTTGCATTCCGACTGCAGGTATTGTGGTCGATGCAAACATGACTCCTTGTAAAAAAGGTGTCAGTATTGTTGCCAGATAAAAGGGTAAAAAAACAATAACAATGAATCATGTTCATCTGAGAATGCAGTACCTCTTATTGTTTAGGTTACTAACAGTTAAACAACATAGTGAAATGCTTTTACGTTTTGTTTCATTTTTTGGGGGGGGGGGGGGGTGGTTAGGTCGTCATGCAGGTACAATATCACCACCCGGCAGAGAAAATAAAATCAAGTTGTCACGTGGCTCTGTTGGGTGGTGGAGGCCCTGCTAAGGACTAGGAACAAATGAAACCAAAAGCAAAGATCACCCGTATAGGCTTAACAGACTGTTTGGGCAAGTGCTGTTAGCGAGCACCTACAAAGGCCGGCATGGCACACGGAGGGGTACGGCGTGGCCAGCACCACGCCCGGCCGCCTTTGTCTCCCCAGTGGCGATGTTTTAACACACTGCACCAGGTACTAATTTGAGGCTGAGTCGACCGAGGGGAGGTTTATATAATCGTCACTGGTGTTTGTAGCTGTGAGCGGGAATCGAACTTGGGTCGCTGAATTCATAGCGCAGCGCGCTAACTGCTACACTACCCCTCTGGGGCGCTTTCAGTATAAATACAGTTAATACAAGACGTGCTTTTCCCCACTAAGTGACGGTGACATCACCACGGCTCCTGTGCCAAGCCAGGTGCACTTTGAGAGTACGGATCTTTGACACACACACACGGGAGGGACGGCAGAGACACACGAAGCTGTATTTTTAAATCCGTTATATTAAGTTCGCTTGCTTGCTTGCGTGCTTGCTTGCGTGCTTGCTTGCTTGCTTACGACCGTGCAAATCTTTCGGTCGTTTTTTAACCCACTTCCCGTGATCCAATCGAGCTGACATTTTCCACACAGACTCGTTGTGCGAGACAATTAATGTTCGTGAAAAAAAATTCCCAAAATTTTACACTTTTTAGGCAAAAAAAAAATATTTTACATATATTCAAATAGAACTCATTCATGGCTTTGGCTGAACGTCACAGTGTAAGAGCCCAGAGCGTAACCCCTCCACAGGCCGTGGCGGAGTAGCGCAGTTGGTAGCGCCCTCGCTTCCCATGCCAAAGGTCGCGGGATCGATCCCCGCGTCCTGCACAGGCGAATATATTTTTAAATCCTTCATATTAAGTTCGCTGCCACGCATATAAAGGATTTATAGTGAAAAACTTTGTTTTTACGGGTTATTCTTATTAAATCCTTCATATTAAGTTCACTTGCTTGCGTGCTTACGACCGTGCAAATCTTTCGGTCGTCTTTTAACCCACTTCCCGTGATCCAATCGAGCTGATATTTTGCACACAGACTCGTTGTGCGTGACAATTTATTTTCGTGAAAATTTTTTTTCCTAAATTTCCCACTTTTTAGGAATTTTTTTTTCATATTTTATTTAAAATACCAATGTGATAAAAATGAAACTCTTACTCAAGAAAAACAGAAATGAATAATAAAATAAAACCGATGCCACGCATATAAAAGATTTATAGTGAAAAACTTTGTTTTTACGGGTTAATTTATTATCACTTCCACAGCGTTTCGCGAGACAAGCGCGCGTTTGCCATCAAGGATATTTTTATTGCGACGTGAAAATCGACATAAATATGACAAGATCAAAAACGCGGTCGTGTTGACGTGTGGCCCCGTCTATAAGGGGTCCTCTCTGGGGGTTCCATTGGTCCCCTTATTCACAAGGACCCCCAAGTAGTGGGCAGGTATCCAGAGTCCGAGTCATCGTCGGTGATGGGTGAAAATATTCTTCGTGGCAGCCGAAATATTTGTTGTGATATGTGCAGTAAATGATATATATTTCTACATGTATGTACAGCGATTTATTTTCTTATTTCCCTCATTAAAATGCAAATCAATTTATAACATTTTTGACATGCGTTTTTCTGGATTTTTAAATCCTTTATATTAAGTTCGCTTGCTTGCTTACGACCGTGCAAATCTTTCGGTCGTTTTTTAACCCACTTCCCGTGATCCAATCGAGCTAACATTTTCCACACAGACTCGTTGTGCGTGACAATTAATGTTCGTGAAATTTTTTTTCCAAAATTTTACACTGTTTATGGAAAACAAATTAAATATTTAATTACCAATTGCTTAATACTGGCAGACAATCATCTGACCCATAGGTGGCAGCCATCTCAAGCCAGAGGACGAGAGGACTCTAGCCGCCACGCATATAAAGGATTTATAGTGAAAAACTTAGTTTTTACGGGTTATACTTGTTTGTTGTTATTCTGTCTCTCACTGTCCAAGTAAACCTACCATTAAAATTATAGACTGATCATTTCTTTGTCAGTGGGCAAACGTACAAAATCAGCAGGGGATCAAATACTTGTTTCCCCTCACTGTATGTTGAACTTCTTTCGCACCGTACGTACCGAACCGCGCTCATCGCAGATGCGGGGGAAGGACAACATGAAAAAAAACAAGGAACTTTTTATTTTACCAGTCAAGGCCCACTGAGCTATGTAGCTCTTTTTTTTGTAAGCAAAAAAAATACTGGAGGACCCGAAAAAAATCCACGCGACCACGGGAAGAGAGACACGCAAAACTCCAAATACACAACAGGCTGTCAGGGTCAGGGTCGAACCCACGACCACCTGCATACCAGGCGAGATCGTTAACATACTCTTAGGTTTTTTCGGTAAAGTCACGTAGGTAAAAAATTAAATATTAAATTGAAATTAATAAAAGTAAAATAAAAATCACTTAAAAAAAATTATTTTGTATTTTTTACCTACGTGACTTTACCGAAAAAACCTAAGACTATGAATCCTTGCAGTCACGAAAGCTTCAAATCTAGAGATCGTTAACATCTCCCGGCCACCGTGGCATCCCTTGTGATTGGCGCGCCGACGATTTGGTTTCCTCAGATTGTGCACGATTTGCACAGATTGTACATTTACATTCTTTCGTGCACCGTTCGACACGTTACAATTGGCCCTGAATCGCGGATGAAAATTGACGGATCCGTCGCGTGCCAATGAGTTGTAATTCTTCATTTTTTCGAGCCTCGGGCACTCAGCCAATGACTGTCCAGGTAGGGAAGTGGTCGATGGCGAGTTGTGATGTCATAGCGAGTTGTGATGTCACAGCGAGTTGTGATGTCATAGCGAGTTGTGATGTCATAGCGAGTTGTGATGTCCTGGCGAGGCGTGATGTCATAACGAGGTGTGATGTCATGGCGGGGTGTGATGTCATAGCGAGGTGTGATGTCATAGCTAGTTGTGATGTCATATCGAGGTGTGATGTCATAGCGATGCGTGATGTCATAGCGAGTTGCGATGTCATAGCGAGGTGTGATGTCACAGCGACGCGCGATGATGCAATGGTGAGGTGTGATGACGTCATCAGCGTCACTGGCCTCGGTGACCTCTCCGACCTTGACCCCGAGGGCTCATCGTCAGTTCTCTCCGTCGACGTCGCTCCACGTCGCGCGGCCATGGCTCCTGGCGACCGTGGCTCCCGGCGGCTATCGGTAATTCCCGGCCGATCTCGTGTCCCCTTGCTGCTTGCTCATGAGGAGGTTGATGTACGAGGTCAGGAGGTCGTCCACTTTGTAGCCCTGCACACGGGAAAAGCCGCAACGCCACAGGTCCAGCAGCTGTCGAGGAGCACCAGGGCAAACTGGCGGGTGCCGTGAGTGAGCGAGCGGGAGGTCGGCTATCCTGCCCCGCTGCGACCCGCAGTGTCTGATAATGATCCTAGATTTGAAGCCGCACCTTTACAGCAGCCGCACCTTAACAACTCTTGGAACCTCGCAGTTCAACCAGTCTACACAACAAAGGCTCATTGCTAGTAGTGGTTTCAGCCGCACCACCTCTACATAACAAAAGGCTCAGTCCCATTTACAGCAGCCGCACCTTAACAACTCTTGGAACCTCCCAGTTCAACCAGTCTACACAACAAAGGCTCATTCCTAGCAGCGGTTTCAGCCGCACCACCTCTACATAACAAAAGGCTCAGTCCCATTTACACCTTTACATCAGCCGCACCTTAACAACTCTTGGAACCTCCCAGTTCAACCAGTCTACACAACAAAGGCTCATTCCTAGCAGCGGTTTCAGCCGCACCACCTCTACATAACAAAAGGCTCAGTCACATTTACATGCACCTTTACATCAGCCGCACCTTAACAACTCTTGGAACCTTCCAGTTCAACCAGTCTACACAACAAAGGCTCATTCCTAGCAGCGGTTTCAGCCGCACCACCTCTACATAACAAAGGCTCAGTCCCATTTACAGCAGCCGCACCTTAACAACTCTTGGAACCTCCCAGTTCAACCAGTCTACACAACAAAGGCTCATTCCTAGCAGCGGTTTCAGCCGCACCACCTCTACATAACAAAGGCTCAGTCCCATTTACAGCAGCCGCACCTTTACATCAGCCGCACATTAACAACTCTTGGAACCTCCCAGTTCAACCAGTCTACACAACAAAGGCTCATTCCTAGCAGCAGCTTTAGCCGCACCAACTTCACAATAATAATAATATCCAGAGGCCTGCCTTGGCTCCTCCCACCCTCAACCAGTATATATACAAGGCCTGTTTTCTTGGAATTTCTCTCACTTGATACAGCTATCGTGCTGTGACGGTTCCACCTGAAGACGGAAGCTTGTGTTGCCTCCAAAACGTCGTGATTTTTATTTTATTATTTATTTTACTTTTATGAATTTTATTTTTTTTACCTACGTGACTTTACCGAAAAAACCTAAGAATATGATAATGATCCCTTCCGCTATCGGAAGGGGTAGGGGCTGAACGACGCTCTCTGTGTGTGTATGTGTGTGTTTGTCTCTGTGTGTGTGTGTGTCTGTATGTGTGTGTGTGTCTGTATGTGTGTGTGTGTGTTTGTCTGTGTGTATGTCTCTCTCTGTCTGTGTGTGTGTTTGTCTGTGTGTGCGTGTGTGTGTGTGCGTATTTGTCTCTGTGCGTATATCTCTCTGTCTGTGTGTGTGTCTCTGTGTGTCTGTGTGTGTGTCTATGTGTGTCTCTGTGTGTGCGTCTGTGTGTGTGCATGTTTGTCTCTGTGCGTATATCTCTCTGTCTGTGTGTGTCTCTGTGTGTGTCTATGTGTGTCTCTGTGTGTGCGTCTGTGTGTGTGCGTGTTTGTCTCTGTGCGTATATCTCTCTCTGTCTGTGTGTGTATCTGTGTGTCTCTGTGTGTGTGTCTGTGTGTGTGTGTGTTTGCCTGTGCATATATCTCTCTCTGTCTGTGTGTCTGTGTGTCTCTGTGTGAGTGTCTGTGTGTGTGCGTTTGTCTCTGTGCGTATATCTCTCTCTCTGTCTGTGTCTGTCTGTGTGCGTCTCTGCGTGTGCGTCTGTGTGTGTGCATGTTTGTCTCTGTGCGTAAATCTCTCTGTCTGTGTGTGTGTGTCTGTGTGTCTCTGTGTGTCTCTGTGTGTGTGTCTGTGTGTGTGTCTGTGTGTGTACGTGTTTGTCTCTTTGCGTATATCTCTCTCTCTGTCTGTGTGTGTATCTGTGTGTCTCTGCGTGTGCGTCTGTGTGTGTCTGTGTGTCTCTGCGTGTGCGTCTGTGTGTGTGCGTGCCACCACTCACCAGGAACGTTTCGCACAGCAGCTTGGTACCGTTCACGGCGCTGCCGATGGTGATGTGGAAGTACGTGCTCCCGCTACTCCAGTTGAAGATCTTGGTGAAGCTGTGCTGAGCTAGTATGTCCTGCCAAGGGAGGGAGGGTCTGCGTTTCACTTGGGCTCTGCGTGTTTGGCTGGGTAAGAACTCAACTGAAAACGATCAAACACTACTTTTATTTTACCCGGTGAGGTCCGATGGAGCTAGAGCTTTTTTTCAGAAGCTTCCGCAAATGATGACCCAACGAAGTGGCTTATCGTCACGTGGACACTTATTGCAGACACATACTCCGAACGGCATTTTGATTTTAAATGTGAAGGTGAAAAACTGGAGGGCCCGGGCAAAAATCCACGCGACCACGGGGAGAGAGACATGCAAACTCCAAATATACTGCAGGCTTCAGGGTTGGGATCGAACCCACGACCTCCTGTATACCAGGCGAGGTAATTAGCATCTCGCCACGGCCAGAACACAACCGAAGAGGATGAGTCTAATTTGCCAGAGTGACCCAGGTCACCGCGAATTCCAAAAGTAAAAGCATGTGCCGGCCTTCGCAGGTGCTCGCTAACAGCACTTGCCCCAACAGTCTGTTAAGGTTGTACGGGGGATCTTTGTGTTTTTATGTGTGTGTGTTGCATCACGTCACATCGCTGGCTACTCGCCTTGGTCTTGGGGTTGATGAGGCTCAGCCCGTGCTTGTTGATGGCGATCCGCAGGATGTCGGGGTAGGTGGGCTCGGAGATTTGCTGCAAACGAAACAAACGGCACGCGACGGGTCAACCGCGGTACCGACCGGGGCTGCCGAGCGGATGCGAACCGGTCGAACCTCCGCCGGAACGCACCGTGGGGGGGGCGGGGAGGGGGCGACGTGATGACAGTGCTGTACAAAATCCCGGAGTGGAATCCAGGGGTGGAATACTGGAGTGGATTTGAAGGGCGCAGTCCGGCAATGGCTCGCTCAGAAGAAGTGACGCTGCCCGAAACGTCAGCCGTTAAATGCGATTCCCTGTCAAGGCCCCGAAGACAAAGATCCCCCCGTTTAGCCTGAAGCAGACTGTCCAGGGCAAGTGCTGTCAGCGAGCAACTATGAGGGGTCATAACGGAAGTGACCAGCATCACGCCCGGCCGCCTTTGTCTCCCTAGCAGTGCCGATGTTTACACACCGCACCAGGTACTCATTTGTGGCCAAGTCGACCCAGGGGAGGCCCGGGACCGGTTCATAAAATCGTCACCGGTGTTGGCCGCGAACGGGAATCGAACACGGGTCGTCGGGTTCGTAGTGCAGCGTAGCGCTAAACCGCTGCGCCACCGCTCCCCACACACGCGCACCATTGACGGGAGCGCCATTGAGCCCCCTAAATCAGAGTCGGAACATTTATTCGCCCTGGAGGAATCCGATGAGCTATTAAGCTATTTTTAAATCCTTTACATTAAGTTCACTTGCTTGCTTGCTTGCGTGCTTGCGTGCTTGCTTGCTTGCTTAGGACCGTGCAAATCTTTCGGTCGTTTTTTAACCCACTTCCCGTGATCCAATCGAGCTGACATTTTCCACACAGACTCGTTGTGCGTGACAATTAATTTTCGTGAAAATTTTTTTCCAAAATTTTACACTGTTTAGGGAATTTTTTTTAAAATATTTAATTACCAATTGCTTAATGGTAGCAGACAATCATCTGACCCATAGGTGGCAGCCATCTCAAGCCAGAGGACGAGAGGACTCTAGCCGCCACGCATATAAAGGATTTATAGTGAAAAACTTTGTTTTTACGGGTAAATTTTTTTCCCCTTTTTTCACAGATGTGCAGACGGAAGTCGGCCCTCACCTTGACGTCAAAGAAGGTCGTTCCGAACGTAGGCCACCTGCTGATGATCTTGAGGAACGCCAGCTTCGCTTCGTCGTGCGTCTTGCCGGCGTTCTTGCTGACGGCTGCGACGATCAACTAGCAAAGGGTGGGGGGGGGGAGGAAATCATTAATCGGTGCGCCATCGTGCGGCCGGCAAACTGTGCAGTTTGTTTTTTATTCTTAGGTTTTGTCGGTAAAGTCACGTAGGTAAAAAATTTAAATTAATAAAAGTAAAATAAAATAAAAATCACGACGTTACGGAGGCAACACAAGCTTCCGTCTTCAGGTGGAACCGTCACAGCATGACTGCTGCATCAAGTAAGAGAAATTCCAAGAAAACACTCCCTGTATATATACTGGTTGAGGGTGGGAGGAGCCACTGTGAGGTTCGGTGCGGCTGAAGCACGCTGCAAGGAATGAGCCTTTGTTGTGTAGACTGGTTGAAACGGGAGGTTCCAAGAGCTGTTAAGGTGCGTCTGATGTAAAGGTGCGTTTGCTGTATTTTTTTACTTTTATTAATTTTAATTTTTTACCTACGTGACTTTACCAAAAAAACCTAAGAATATGAGCTCCTACCAAGGCTGGCACGGCATGCGAGCGGGTGAGTGGCCAGCACCATGCCTGGCCGCCTTGGTCTCCCCAGTGGCGATGTTTACACATCGCACGAGGTACTCATTTGAGACCGAGTCGACCTGGCAGAGGCTCAGGACCAGTTAAGATAATCACCACTGGTGTTGGCCGTGAGCAAAATGTCAGCTCGATTGGATCACGGGAAGTGGGTTAAAAAACGACCTAAAGATTTGCACGGTCCTAAGCAAGCAAACAAGCACGCAAGCAAGCGAACTTAATATAAAGGATTTAATAAAATGAAACCGACCACGCATTAAAAGGATTTATAGTGAAAAACTTTGTTTTTACGGGTTTACTTGTCCACCGTGCGTTGCCAACCGTCGCTAATCTTCATCGCGGGGCGGACGGACGGGAGTGGGGGGGAGGGACGTCGAGCGACGAGGGGGACCGTCACCTTCTTCCACGCGTCGGTGGAGGCATCGGGCAGGAGGTCGTGGGGCAGCAGCTCCTTGAGGCTGCGCCCGATGCTGGAGATGGCGGCTCGCTCGTCGCCGTGGCGGGCGCGGAACACCAACGCCGCGAGCTGCACGGCGTCTTCGCGGGACACCTTGTGGAAGCCGCGCAGAAACTTGGGTAGCTCCTGCGCGGGCGGGTGGGGGGTCAAGGAGACGGTGGCGTTGATGGCGGTGATGGGGACGGTCGTGCGGGGGAGAGTGATGACGACGGGAGTGATGATGATGATGTTGATGATGATGATCCCATTGGAACCTAATTTGCCAGTGTCTTTGAGTTGTGCGCCTTTTGGCGTCATCTGGTCCAACCCATGTGAGACTAGGCTCTAAGGAAAGCTGTCTTTGGTGTGGACCAATCAACTTCAAGGACAGTGCACATTATCAGAGTAATGTTTTTGGTTTGCATTATGACTGCAGGTATTGTGGTCTATGCAAACATGACTCCTTGTAAAAAAGGTTTCAGTTTTTTTGCCAGATAGAAGGGTAAAAAAACAAATTATCATATTTTTTACTGGCAAATGAGGTTCCAATGGTGTAAATGCTTACCCCGAGCTCTCATACTCTGATGGTGCATTGTCTTTGAGTTATGCGCCTTTTGGCGTCATCTGGTCCAACCCACGTGGGACTAGGCTCTAAGGAAAGCTGTCTCGGGTGTGGACCAATCAACTTCAAGGACAGTGCACATTATCAGATTCATATTCTTAGGTTTTTTCCGGTAAAGTCACGTAGGTAAAACATCAAAATTAATAAAAATAAAATAAAACAAGGATCACGACGTTTCGGAGGCAACACAAGTCTCCGTCATCAGGTGGGACCGTCACAGCCAGATTAGCTGCATCAAGTGAGGCAATGATTCAAGATGTAATCCCTTAAAAGCGAGTTGAGGGGGGAGGAGAGGGGGGGGGAGATCATCAGAATGTGGTAGCCAATGAATGGAACGTATCGGGAGGGAGGGGGGGGGCGGGGCCAAAAGGGTGGGCGTCGGCGTGGAAGCGATTGTGCGCAAGCGACAAACTGCTGCACACGTCAAACGTTTTGGGTAAAGAGGGGGGAGGGGGGAGGGGGAGGCCTGATACACATGATAGAAAAGAACGAAAATGCCCATGTTTATACCAATGCTGGCTGAACAATGAAGAGATTACTGTTAAACACTGGGGATGTTAACACTCGGTAAAGTAAAGATAAATAGTGCCTGTCAGATAAGATTGTCCTAAAAAAGTGGAATTAAGTTATCAGAGTTATGTTTTTTTTTGCATTATGACTGCAGGTATTGTAGGTCTATGCAAACATGACTCCTTGTAAAAAAAGGTGTCAGTTTTGTTGCCAGATAGAAGGGTAAAAAAACATTTATGATGATGTTGATGATGATGATGTTGAGGATGACCACAATTTTGATGGTGGCGATAGTCATGAAGGTGATGATGATGGTGGCGGCGATGATAATGACGATGTTGACGTTGGTGATGAAGATGATGTAGCTAGTGACACACACACACACGCACGTATGGCAAGTGACACACACACAGACACACGTGTAGCTAGTGACACACACACACGTGCGTGTTGCTAGTGACACACACACACAGACACACGTGTGGCTAGTGACACACACACACGTGTGGCTAGTGACACACACACACACGTGTACCTAGTAACACACACACACGTGTGGCTAGTGACACACACACACACACGTGTACCTAGTGACACACACACACACACGTGTGGCTAGTGACACACACACACACACGTGTACCTAGTGACACACACACACGCGTGCAGGTAGTGACACACACACACACGTGTACCTAGTGACACACACACACACGTGTACCTAGTGACACACACTCGCGCCTGTGGCTCTGAGTGGCACCACGCGGTGTCACCTGCGGGTAGTGGAACAAGTTGTCTGCGGTGGGGTCCTTCCCCGGGACCACGTTGACCCAGAGCTTGCGGAGAAAGTGCACCTGGTACTCCGGCATGGGGGCAGCTGCCTGGCCTAGCGGCGCACCGACACAGAGAGAGATAGAGGGGGGCACGGGGGGTGGGGGCAGCCAGCGTCAAGGCCAGAGGTCGCAACCGGGTACCCGATACCCGTACCCTACCCGATACCCGGCTACCCGTACCCGGCCGGGTACGGGAACCCGTTTGCGACCCTGGTGCGGCCGGGTACGGGAGTCACTGGTGAGTAACCGTTTGTCACTCATTTCCCAACGTCTTGTCTCTTCTCGCAATTCAAGTTCCTAGAATCAACCCACCCGCGCCTGCAACATGGCTTCATCCCAGAGGTCGCAATCGGGTACCTGTACCCGTACCCTACCCGATACCCGGCCGGGTACGGGTAGGGTACGGGTATCGGGTAGAGTATGGTTGATTCCGTTGTAGGGGTGCACGAAGGGAGAATGACCGGAGGAGAAAGAGGAGGAGGGACAGACGACAGCGCTGCCGACGAATCCCGCTCATCTCCGAGCCGGCACGCGGAACCTTCCCCCCGCCAGCGCTCGTTACCTTCCCGTGCCACCCTCCCACTGCAGCTCCACTCCTCCATTTGCCTGGCGAAGTCAAAGAAGAAGTCTCCATCTGGCATGCTCACCACCTGCATCTCCAGCAGCACACACCGCCACCGCGCATCACCGCACAGCACCAAACACCACGGCACCAAACACCACGGCACCATACACCACGGCACCATACACCACGGCACCATACAGCGCCGCTGCAGGCGGTCGTGCCGGTGAACTGACAGCACGCGGACGGACGTGACCGATGCCCCGATGCAGTCATTGACAATTTGGGGCGCCGAGTGAAAGTGTTTGTTGGGGAGTTCCTCCCTCCCCAGCCTCCCTCCCTCCCTTCCTCCTCTCCCTTCCTCCCTCCCCAGCCTCCCTCCCCAGCCTCCCTCCCCTCCCTCCCTGCCTCCCTCCCTCCCCAGTCTCCCTCCCCAGTCTCCCTCCCCCCTCCCTCCCTCCCTCCCCAGCCTCCCTCCCTCCCCTCCCTCCCTCCCTCCCTCCCCTCCCTCCCTCCCTCCCTCCCTTCCCTCCCCTCCCTCCCTCCCTCCCTCCCTCCCCAGTCTCCCTCCCCTCCTCCCTCCCCAGTCTCCCTCCCCCCTCCCTCCCTCCCTCCCCTCCCTCCCCAGCCTCCCTCCCACCGCACCTTGTCCAGGATCTTGATGAAGAGGCAGAACCCCTCCTGCGACTTGAGCTGCAGCTTCTTGGCGATGGCCAGGCAGAGCTCGCGCACTCGCGTGCCCGCGTCCACCTCGAACGTCTGCACGGCAGACAGAGAGACAGAGACAGAGAGAGACAGAGAGAGAGACAGAGAGAGAGACCGAGAGAGAGACAGAGAGACAGAGAGAGACAGAGAGACAGAGAGAGAGAGACAGAGAGAGACAGAGAGAGACAGAGAGAGACAGAGACACAGAGAGAGACAGAGAGAGAGAGACAGAGAGAGACCGAGAGAGACAGAGAGAGACCGAGAGACAGAGAGAGACAGAGAGAGACCGAGAGAGAGACAGAGACACAGAGAGAGACAGAGAGAGAGAGACAGAGAGAGACCGAGAGAGACAGAGAGAGACCGAGAGACAGAGAGAGACAGAGAGAGACAGAAAAAGACAGAGAGACCGAGAGAGACGCCACGCAGGGAAAACCGTGAGGTGGTGATGGCGAGGGCGGTTTTCGCTACCTAACGCTGCGAGTTCGATTCCCGTTCACGGGCCGACGTCGATGACGACTGCTACGGTGGACCAGTCCTGGGCTGTCCCCCCTCCGCCCCGCCTAGGTTGACCCAGTCAAGTTCAAGTTCATTTATTAGGTATAGCCCTGTGAGCCATTCGGCTCTTGAATCGGGTGCAACTGCAACAAACAAAAAACATAAACATGAACAAAAAACATCTTAAAGTGACTATGTGACTAAGTGCAAACAGAAAATCCAAGAAAAAAAGCACCGTACACCAACGCTGTGTGCAAATATCCCAGTGGGATGCAAGTCAAACAACAACAACAACACTGGGGAGACAAAGGAGGCCGGGCGTGGCGCTGGCCACTGTGCCATGCCAGCCCTTCGCAGGTGCTCGCTGAAGAGCACTTGGCCCAACAGCCCGCTAAAGACTACATGGGGGAGCTTTGTCTTTGGTGGTGGAGGCAATGATGACAGATACAGAACAACATTGGGTGCTGGAGAGGATGATGATGATGATAATGAGTGACATTGTTGATAACGGTGATGAGAGTGATGATGTTGATGGTGATAACGATGGTGATGAGATTGGTAATGGTGATGATGCTGATAATGGTGATGAGAGTGATGGTGTTGATGATAGTGATGATGATGGTAACAATGGTGATGATAGTGATAATGGCGATGATGATGATGCTGATAACGATGGTGATGATAGTGATGATGGTGATGTCGACGATGCAGATGATGTTGAAGAGAGTGACGATATTGATGATATTGATATTGATGATATTGATATTGATGGTGATGGTGGTGGTGTAGTTTGCGAGCACCTGTTCCGACTGGTCGGGGAAGGAGACGGGGTGGTGCAGCTTGCGCGACTTGTGCTGCGCCGCCTTCACCTCGCGTAGGTGCGGCGGGTACCTGCGCAGGGGAAACCTGCACCCAGCACACGTGATCACACACGCAGGTGAACACGTGATCACACACAGGTGAACACATACACGTGAACACGTGGACACACACAGGTGAACACACACAGGTGAACACACACACACGTGAACACGTGGACACACACACGTGAACACACACAGGTGAACACGTGATCACACACAGGTGAACACGTGAACACACACAGGTGAACACGTGAACACACACAGGTGAACACACACGTGAACACGTGATCACACACAGGTGAACACGTGAACACACACAGGTGAACACGTGAACACACACAGGTGAACACACACACGTGAACACGTGAACACACACAGGTGAACACGTGATCACACACACACGTGAACACGTGATCACACACAGGTGAACACGTGGACACACACAGGTGAACACGTGGACACACACAGGTGAACACGTGATCACACACAGGTGAACACGTGATCACACACAGGTGAACACGTGGACACACACAGGTGAACACACACAGGTGAACACGTGGACACACACAGGTGAACACGTGATCACACACAGGTGAACACGTGGACACATACAGGTGAACACGTGGACACACACAGGTGAACACGTGATCACACACAGGTGAACACGTGAACACATACACGTGAACACGTAGACACACACAGGTGAACACGTGAACACACACAGGTGAACACGTGAACACACACAGGTGAACACGTGATCACACACAGGTGAACACGTGAACACACACAGGTGAACACGTGAACACATACACGTGAACACGTGAACACACACAGGTGAACACGTGAACACACACAGGTGAACACGTGAACACACACAGGTGAACACGTGAACACACACAGGTGAAAACGTGGACACACACAGGTGAACACGTGGACACACACAGGTGAACACGTGGACACACACAGGTGAACACGTGGACACACACAGGTGAACACGTGAACACACACAGGTGAACACGTGGACACACACAGGTGAACACGTGATCACACACAGGTGAACACGTGTACACACAGGTGAACACGTGATCACACACAGGTGAACACGTGAACACGTGAACACACACAGGTGAACACGAGCCCCGGTGGGTGAAAATCTGAGTCGGCATTCCCTTGTGCCCCGATGACCACTTCCACATCTGAGCAGTGCTCACACTATGGCCAGCACACCGGTGCGTGCGTGTGTGTGCAGGTGTGTGCGTAGGTGTGTGTGTGTATGTGTACACGTGTACACATACACACACAGTGGGGAGCGGTGGTGTCGCGGTTAGCGCTACGCTGCGATACGAACCTGGCGATCCGAGTTCGATTCCCGCTCACGGCCAACACTGGTGACGGTTATCTGAACCGGTCCTGGGCCTCCCCTAGGTCTACTCAGCCTCAAATAAGTACCTGGTGCGGTGTGTAAACATCGCCAATAGGGAGACAAAGGCGATTGGGTGTGGTGCTGGCCACCCACCCCCCTATATGTGTGTATAGGTGTGTATATAGGTGTGTGTCTATGTATATGTGTGTGAGTATATGTATGCGTGTGAGTATATGTATGTGAGTATATGTATGTATGGTACAGTAGGGGGCACAGGTGGTGCATCAGCCAGTCATCTCGGTCATCTCGGTCAGTCGACCCGTGGCACCTGCTGGGTCTGCCCCGTGACCTCCTGCCAGCGGGCGTTCGACACTTCACGTGGCCTCAAGGTGCACTTGGCCTGGCACAAGCATCGTGGTGACGTCACCGCCACTTAGTGGCGAATGGCGGTTGTTGTTGTTGTTATATATGTGTGTGTATATGTATATATATGTGTGTCTATGTATATGTGTATATATGTGTGTGTCTATGTATATGTGTATATATATGTGTGTGTATATGTGTGTGTGTGTATATATGTGTGTATATGTGTGTGTGTGTATATATGTGTGTATAGTTGTGTATATGTGTGTGTGTGTATATATGTGTGTATAGCTGTGTATATTTATGTGTGTATATATGTGTGTATATGTGTGTGTGTATATGTGTGTGTGTATATTTATGTGTATATGTGTGTGTGTGCCGACCCGCTGTTCTGCAGGCTGCGGTTGAGGCGGGCGACGTGGGCCGTGCGCTGCCGCGACTTGAGGAACTCCTGGACGTGCGGAGCCAGCGCCGCTCCCGGCGGGAACAGACCGAGGCACAACCACAGCAGCTCCCAGCCCTTCTCCTCGCTATACCTGGACACAACAAAGACAAAGATCCCCCGCGTAGCCTCAGCAGACTGTCGGGGCAAGTGCTGTTAGCTAGCGACAGCACCTACGAAGGCCGGCACGGCACACGTGGGGTTGGGTGGCCAGCGCCACGCCCGGCCGCCTTTGTCTCCCCAGTGGCGATGTTTACACACCCATTTGAGGCTGAGTCGACCTAGGGGAGGCACAGGACCGGTTCAGATAATCGTCACTGGTGTTGGTGGCCGTGAGCCGGAATCAAACTGGGATTCGTAGTGCATCGCATTAACCACTGCACCACCGTTTCCCACGCACATGCAAAGATCCCCAGTATAGCCTGCATCAGCCTTTTGGGGCAAGTGCTGTTAGCAAGTAGCACCTATGAAGGCCGGCACGGCACACGAGGAGGTGGGTGGCCGACACCACGCCCGGCCACCTTTGTCTCCCCAGTGGCGATGTTTACACGCACCCCCTTGCACCACCGCTCCACACACACACATAGCCCGATCAGCTACCAGTCCTTCTCTTCACTATACCTGTACGCACACACACACACACAGCGGTAAGGAGATGGAGGAAGGAAAGGCTGTGTCAGGGACTCGTGCTGCTACTGCACGGAGGAGCATTGAGCGGCGTCTGTTTTCACAGTGGGCGGGGAGAGGGGAGGCGACTCAGAGCGGGCGTGGCCACCCACAGAAGTCACGTGGTTTACTGGAGCCTCGTGCTGATTTAGAGATGTAGAGGTGTGGAGATCTGCAGATGAGAGGAGAGACATTCAGAGCGGGGGTGGCCACCAGAGGTCGCAACTGGGTACCCGATACCCGTACCCTACCCGATACCCGGCTACCCATACCCGGCTGGGTACGGGTAGCCGTTTGCGACCCCGGTGCGGCCGGGTACGGGTAGGCCGTGAGTCACTGGTGAGTAACCGTTTGTCACTCATCTCGGGTAGGGTACGGGTACGGGTAGGGAACGGGTACCCATTTGCGACCCTGGTGCGGCCGGGTACGGGTACGGGTAAGGAATCAAAATCCGTTTGTGACCTTTGGTGGCCGGCCACCCACAGAAGTCACGTGGTTTACTCGAGTCTCCAAGCCGATTTTAAGCACACAGACAGAATGGCTCGGGAAAGCGGACACGACAGAACTTCTTCCGGAGGTCACATATCTCCAAGGCACCGCTCCCCGCCCCTTCACCACCCCGCAACCCGGCAAGAGTAGAAAAGCAGCGGCAAAGCTCGCCGGCTCACCCCTGTTTGTTGTCGGTGAGCTGCTTGAGGATCTGGCAGTAGATCTCGTCCTGCATGCAGGCGTTCTTCAGCGCCGGCCTGAACACCTGGTCGGTGAGGTCGGTGCCCGGGTCGGAGGTCGCCTGCCGCATCGGGAAGTCCCCCATGTACTTGAGGATGGGTGCAGGGGGACGGGGGGAGGCCACGGGGGGGTCAGAGGTCAAGGCGTTCAGACGGACTGGCGGGCTCGATTACTCGGACGATGACGACGATGCTCACGACGGGACTAAACATCCATTGTAATTTACACGAATTAATTAACCCCCTCCCCGCCCCGCGGTCGTCACACCAGAGGTCGCAACCGGGTAACCGATACCCGTACCCTACCCGATACCCAGCTACCCGTACCCGGCCGGGTACGGGTACGGGTACCCATTTGCGACCCTGGTGCGGCCGGGTACGGGTAGGCCGTGAGTCACTGGTGAGTCACCGTTTGTCACTCATTTCCCAACGTCTTGTCTCGTCTTACAATTCAAGTTCCTAGAATGAACCCACCCGCGCCTGCAACATGGCTTCATCCCAGAGGTCGCAATCGGGTACCCAATACCCATACCCTACACATACCCGGCCGGGTACGGGTAGGGTACGGGTACGGCCGGGTTACGGGTACGGGTACCCGTTTGCGACCCTGGTGCGGCCGGGTACGGGTACGGGTCCGAGTACGGGTACGGGTATCGGGTACGAGTACGGGTACGGGTACTGGTATCGGGTAAGGAATCAAAACCCGTTTGCGGCCTCTGCGTCACTCCTGATTGGCTCACAAGTGATGACATCACATTTGCCCTCCTCTATTTGAGGCCGAAACGGGGAGGAAGATTTCTCCACAACTCTGGCTGTCGCCTGGTGATGTCGACGGTTGTAATTACCGGCGAAACGTCGCGGCCCTTCGAATTGTAAATGTCGCTGTGGGTTTACTCTCCAACACACACGACCGGTTAGTGCCGAACTAGCAACTTAATTGGTGGTGGTGGCGGTGGCGGGTTTAACGATACGTTCATATTTACGCGATGCAACCCCCAACTTAAAAAATAAAACAATCCGTTATGGACGGCGGGACGTTCGGCTCACTCTGGAGGAGTGCTCGTGGCGCCAGAGGTCACGCGCGAAAGGTCACACGTCAGAGGTCGCGCGCGACCTCTGAAGTGTGACCTTTCGCGCGTGACCTCTGGCGCCACGAGCACTTTCGCGCGCGAGAGGTCGCGCTCGACCTTTCGCGCGCAAGAGGTCGCGCGCGAAAGGTCGCGCGCGAGAGGTCGCGCGCTGACCATGCGTGACGAGTGAACTAACGGACGGGTGGAGGGGCGAGCGCGTAGAGATTTATATAAACACGCACACGTGGATAATAATATATAATAAGAGTATTATATAATATACAATTATATATCATAATCATATTATAATATTATTATATATTATAATACTATATTTAGATATTATAATAATATGTATAATAACACACACGTGTATATATACACACACATGTGTATATATATACAGGCGGCCTGGGTAACAAACAAAAAATAACATGGGGCAAAAGTTGCCGCGTGGTTGTATGGACCGACTGTGCGAGTATCTGCACGGGCGGCTGGATGGTTGCCATGGTTTGGGTCGCGACGGAGGGGGGGGTGGGGGTTGCGCGTGGGGGGGGGGCCAAGTCTCCGCGGGGCCGAGGGATATCGATGAAGGCGTTGCACGCGTCCTTGGCCACGTGATCTCCGATGACGCTGTGCAGCAGCGGCTGCAGGAGGGGCTCCCGGGAGCAGGCCCAGAGGCGGTCCTTGCGGCGCCCACGCACCTCCACCACCTGCTTCACGGTGCCCTGCGGCAGCGGCCTGGCGGTGACAACGCGCGGTTGCCACGGTGACATGCCCGGTTCCCACGGTGACACGCGCGGTTCCCACGGTGACATGCCCGGTTCCCACGGTGACACGCGCGGTTCCCACGGTGATACGCGCGGCTCCCACGGTGACACGTGAAGTTCCCAGTGACACGCGCGGTTCCCACGGTGATACGCGCGGTTGCCACGGTGATACGCGCGGTTCCCACGGTGACACGCCCGGTTCCCACAGTGACACGCGCGGTTCCCACGGTGACACGCCCGGTTCCCACGGTGACACGCCCGGTTCCCACGGTGACACGCGCGGTTCCCACGGTGACACGCCCGGTTCCCACGGTGACACGCGCGGTTCCCACGGTGACATGCGCGGTTCCCACGGTGACACGCGCGGTTCCCACGGTGACACGCGCGGTTCCCACGGTGACATGCGCGGTTCCCACGGTGACATGCGCGGTTCCCACGGTGACACGCGCGGTTCCCACGGTGACACGCGCGGTTCCCACGGTGACACGCGCGGTTCCCACGGTGACATGCGCGGTTCCCACGGTGACATACGCGGTTCCCACGGTGACACGCGCGGTTCCCACGGTGACACGCGCGGTTCCCACGGTAACACGCGCACGGGTTGGGGCGAGATGTTATCTACCTCGCCTGGTACGCAGGAGGTCGTGGGTTCGATCCCGACCTTGACGACGCCTGCTGCTGTGTATTTGAAGTTCTCTCTCTCTCTCCGTGGTCACATGGATTTTTCTCTGGGTTCTCCGGTTTTGCCCCCCACGTTTAGAATCAACGTAGAGTTCAGAGTGTTTGGCTGCTGTTCATTTCCACGCGACGATAAGCCACTTCGTTGAGCTTTCGTTTGTGGCCAGGTCGCTTCTGAAAAAAAGCTACGTAGCTCACGGGGCCTGACTTGGTAAAATAAAATAAGAAATAGTTTGTAGTTTTTTTCATAGTTTATTCGTGGTTCTGGCGTCTAAGTTCAGGTCCCGCTACCGGTGCCGCTGCATTGAAACTTTATCGCAGGAGCGCGCCGTGAAATTTGATAACAGGCCCTGGCCGACCGAGAAAAGTGACATTCTAACCCACTCGCACGAGCTGTGGGCGACAGGGATTGTGGGTAACGGTGCAAGGGGCATTGTGGGTAACTGCGGTGCCGCACCTGAAGTGGTCCTGCGCGAACTGCTCCAGGGTGTAGAATGCGTTGCGATCCTCCGGCTGCTGCGACACTGTGGAGCCTCGACGCTGACCCTCGGGGTTTGCTGCGAAAAGGCTCTGGGAGACGCGCGGAGAGGGGGGAAACCTCCGATTAGCGTACGGTTGGCCACGCGCGGTGTGAAAGAAGTTCAACGGACATCATCATCATCCCGCACCTCCGATTAGCGTACGGTTGGCCACGCGCGGTGTGAAAGAAGTTAACGGACATCATCATCATCTTCTTGGTTCTTTCGGTAAAGTCACGTAGAATGGAAATAATAAAATAATAAAAATTAAACATAATAAAATTATTCTCACGACGTTTCGGCCACAACGCAAGCAGCCGTCCTCAGGTGAAGAACAGGTCTGACGGAAAGACAGCGTCATTGAGAATTATTTTTATTGTTTTATTTTTATTATTTTATTATTTCCCTTCTACATGACTTTACCGAAAGAACCAAGAAGATGAATCCCTGCAGTCACGAAAGCTTTAAATCGAAATCATCATCATCATCATCATCCCGCACCTCCGATTAGCGTACGGTTGGATACACACGGTACGAAATAAGTTTGATGTATATACTGTACGTACAACTGAAACAGTGGATAATTTATCGCAGCTCGCTCACACACTCACTCACCCACTCACTAACTCACTCACCCACTCACTAACTTACTCACTCGCCTAATCGCTAACTCACTCACCCACTCACTCACTCACACACTCATTAACACACTCACTCACCCAATCGCTCACTCACTCACCCACTCACTCGTCCACTCAATCACACACTCATGAACACACTCACTCACCCGATTGCTCACCCACTCACACACTCACCCATTCACACACTCATTAACACACTCACTCGCCCAATCGCTCACTCACTCACCCACCCACTCACTCACACACTAATTAACACACTCACTCGCCCGAATGCTCACTCACTCACCCACCCACTCACTCACCCACTCACACACTAATTAACACACTCACTCGCCCGAATGCTCACTCACTCACCCACTCACTCACTCACTCACCCACTCACTCGTCCACTCAATCACACACTAATTAACACACTCACTCACCCGAATGCTCACTCACTCACCCACCCACTCACTCATCCACTCACACACTAATTAACACACTCACTCGCTCTAATGCTCACTCACTCACCCACCCACTCACTCACACACTCACACACTAATTAACACACTCACTCGCCCGAATGCTCACTCACTCACCCACCCACTCACTCACCCACTCACACACTAATTAACACACTCACTCGCCCTAATGCTCACTCACTCACCCACCCACTCACTCACCCACTCACCCACTAATTAACACACTCACTCGCCCTAATGCTCACTCACTCACCCACTCACTCACCCACTCACACACTAATTAACACACTCACTCGCCCGAATGCTCACTCACTCACCCACCCACTCACTCACCCACTCACACACTAATTAACACACTCACTCGCCCGAATGCTCACTCAATCGCATACCTACTCACCCACTCACACACTAGCCCAAGTTTCATTACAGCATCATCAGCAGTAACGTTCAGCCTGCACCGACTTCTATGAGACACTCCCAGGCACCACCTCTCTCTTGAAGGCCTCAAGATACAACACCGAAAGTCGGCTAACACAACAGTCTGTGTGTCTCCGTGTCTGTGTTTTGTCTCTCTCTCAAATTTAGCAATCTTTGGAAGAACGTTAATCAACCAGGCAGGGTGTTGACTGTTGTGTTAGCCGACTCTCTGTGTTGTATTCCATTATATTTCTAAGTTTACGATGCTTGTTTTCTCATTCATTCTTACCTGATGATGGTTGCTTGTGTTGCGATCAAAACGTCGTATTCTATTATTATTAAATTCATTTTCTTTCTCCGTGACTTTACCGAAAGAACCAAAGATTAATTCCCGCAGACAAGAAAGCTTCGAATCCAGTCTGCCGGGTTGAGTTTATCGAGCACGGGGCAGCACGTAGACGCTGTCCGACAGGAACTCCCGTCACCCCCCCGTGACCTCGTGCGGTGTGGCCGAGTGGACCAACACCCTCGACCGCCTCGTGCCTAAATTTCGATTTCAAGCTTTCGTGACTGCAGGGATTCATCTCTTGGTTCTTTCGGTAAAGTCATGTAGAAGGGAAGTAATAAAATAACAAAAATAAAACATAATAAAATAATTCTCACGACGTTTCGGCCACAACGCAAGCAGCCGTCCTCAGGCGGAGACCAGGTCTGTCGGGGAGACAGCGTCTGAATGAAACACCACCACGCTTACCAGGATGGCCTTGCTTGGTTTCTCAAGCACGGGCAGCACGTAGACGCTGTCCGACAGGAACTCGCCCGTGAGTCCCGTGCGGTCGTTGCGGCCCTGCGTCCAGCTCCCCTGGGGCAGCGCCTCGCCCGCTGCCTTGTCGCCCTCCAACACGATGAGGTCGCCCCTGTGGCACGCGAGCACGCCCGCGTCCCCGTCTACGGGAGGGTCGGAGGTCAAAGGTTAGAGGTGAACCGCAGAGGTCAGAGCAACGCGGAGATCCATTTCTTTGCAACTGCTTTTGGTATTCTTAGGTTTTTTCGGTAAAGTCACGTAGGTAAAAAAATTAAATTACATAACAAAAAGGCTCAGTCCCTTTCACACGCACCTTTACATCATCCGCACCTAGTTTACACAACAAAGGCTCATTCCTAACAGCGTGCTTCAGCCGCACCGAACCTCACAAAAATAATATTCAGGGCCTACCTTGGCTCCTCCCACCCTCAACCAATATATATACAAATACTGTGTCTTGGAATTTCTCTCACTTGATACAGCTATCGTGCTGTGACGGTTCCACCTGAAGACGGAAGCTTGTGTTGCCTCCGAAACGTCGTGATTTTTATTTTATTTTTATTTTACTTTTATTAATTTTTTTTACCTACGTGACTTTACCGAAAAAACCTAAGAATATGAATCCTTGCAGTCACGAAAGCTTCATATCTAGAACTGCTTTTCGTATTTAGTTTGTTTGACCTTCCCCCCCCCCCCCCCCGCATCTCCGATTTATAGGATTCGCTACGAACGGTGTGACATAGGTTCAGCATACATACATCCTGGGTTCGTATCCAGGTATCCGCCACCTGTGATGACGCAGGTTTCACGAGTGTAGTAGTCGGGGGTGAGTTTCAGTTTCAAACGTTTTGGATTTTGTGTCGGGAAGGACACATTTTTTTCCAATGCTCAGGATCATTTGCATCACCCAACGCCACGTGACTTTACCTTTGGCAGGAAGTGATGCCATGAAAGCGTTGTTATCTAAACACATTCCTGCGGAGGGAGCTGCTAGGAGCGTTGGGTTGCTCGGTCAATGGCCAGGGTCAACAGCGGCGTGGTGTATTCCGCAAATATGCCCGACTGTGAGGACGGGCACAAGCCGGCGTGAGCAGGTTAAACGTTGAGTTTTATAAGGGCACCACGGGGTGACCAGCCCCTCCCCACCCAGCCCCACCCCACCCCTCCCACCCCCCACCCAGCCCCACCCTCCCCACCCAGCCCCTCCCCACCCTACCCACCCAGCCCCTCCCCACCCTCCCCACCCAGCCCCTCCCCACCCTCCCCTCCCCACCCAGCCCCTCCCCACCCAGCCCCTCCCCACCCACCCCTCCTCACCCAGCCCCTCCCTCCCCACCCAGCCCCTCCCTGCACGACGGATGGACGGACACAATAATCCCCTGTGGGCTGGTGTAACCAGGAGGTTCCTACCAGTATGAATATAGTAGACAGATAGAGTCTCTAGACAACAGACAGACAGAGCTGTCTCTGATGGGGGTCTCTAGACAACAGACAGACTGATGGGGGTCTCTAGACAACAGACAGATAGAGCTGTCTCTGATGGGTGCGTCTAGACAACAGACAGACTGATGGGGGTTTCTAGACAACAGACAGACTGATGGGGTCTCTAGACAACAGACAGACAGAGCTGTCTCTGATGGGTGCGTCTAGACAACAGACAGACAGATGGGGTCTCTAGACAACAGACAGACAGAGCTGACCTGATGGGGGTCTCTAGACAACAGACAGACTGATGGGGGTCTCTAGACAACAGACAGACAGAGCTGTCTCTGATGGGTGCGTCTAGACAACAGACAGAGCAGATGGGGTCTCTAGACAACAGACAGACAGAGATGTCTCTAATGGGTGTGTCTAGACAACAGACAGACTGATGGGGTCTCTAGACAACAGACAGACAGTTGGGAGCGTCTAGACAACAGACAGACAGCCAGGGCAGCCTCCGACGGCTCGCACCGATGACGCGGCTCTCCTGCATCGCCACGAGGTGTCGCGATCGGCTCCTGAGGCCCTGCAGGAGCAAGACGAGGAGCTCGTTGAACTCGTCGGCCGCCGGCGTGGCCAGCACGATCTCGTCCCCCCGCAGCGTCGACATGGTCACGGCGGGTCCCGCCAGCTTGCGCCTACGCTCACGTGGGCATAGGGGTTGGGGGGCAGCGGCGGCAAAGCGGTTAACATATTCTTAGGTTTTGTCGGTAAAGTCACGTGTGTAAAAAATTAAAATTAATAAAAGTAAAATAAAAATAAAATAAAAATCACGACGTTTCGGAGGCAACACAAGCTTCCGTCTTCAGGTGGAACCGTCACAGCCACGATTGCTGTATCAAGTAAAGTGAAATTCCAAGAGACCCGACCTTGTATATATACTGGTTTACTTGATACAGCTATTGTGCTGTGACGGTTCCACCTGAAGACGGAAGCTTGTGTTGCCTCCGAAACGTCGTGATTTTTATTTTACTTTTATACAGCAAGCGTGCTGTGATTTTTATTTGATTTTTATTTTTTACCTACGTGACTTTACCGAAAAAACCCAAGAATATAGTGGTTAACGTGCCTTCACTACGAACCCGGAGTGCCCGAGTTCGATTCCAGTGCATATACAGAGCCACACATAGACGTACACGCTAACATTTAAACAAGGACAAAAGATCCCCCGTATAGCCTTAACAAACTGCAGGGGCAAGTGCTGTTAGCGAGCACCTATGAAGGCCGGCACTGTGGTACACGAGGGGGTGGGTGGCCAGCACCACGCCCGACCGCCTTTGTCTCCCCAGTGGCGATGTTGACTACACACCGCACCAGGTACTCATTTGAGGCCGAGTCGACCTAGGGGAGGCCCGGGACCGGTTCAGATAATCGTCACTGGTGTTAGCCGTGAGCGGGAATCGAACCCTGGTCGCCAGGTTCATAGCGCAGCGTAGCGCTAACCGCTACACTACCGCTCCCCACACACGCACACGCACACGCACTCACGCACACGCGCACACACACGCACACACACGCGCACACACACGCACACACAAGCACACACGCGCACACACGCGCACACACGCACACACACGCACACACGCGGCGCACGCACCGGCTGGCGGTGGTGACGGCGATGATCTCTTACCCCGTGCCAGGCTAGGTGCACACACACACGCACACACACGCACACACACGCACACACACGCACACACACGCACACGCACCGGCTGGCGGTGGTGATGGCGACGATCTCGGGGAAGGTGAGCAGCATGAGGACGTGCTCGTCCCCGTCCAGCAGATGCAGCCCCACGGAGCTCACGGCGGCGATCAGCTCGCTCTTGAGCACGCTCGGACCTGCCGCCACGTGCCACCGGGAGCACACACGCACGCGGTCGCACGGCGGTCACACACGCACGCGGTCGCACGGCGGTCACACACGCACGCGGTCGCACGGCGGTCACACACGCACGGCGTTCGCACGGCGGTCACACACGCACGGCGTTCGCACGGCGTTCGCACGGCGGTCACACACGCACGGCGGTCACACACGCACGCGGTCGCACGGCAGTCACACACGCACGCGGTCGCACGGCGGTCACACACGCACGGCGTTCGCACGGCGGTCACACACGCACGGCGTTCGCACGGCGGTCACACACGCACGCGGTCGCACGGCGGTCACACACGCACGGCGTTCGCACGGCGGTCACACACGCACGGCGTTCGCACTGCGGTCACACACGCACGGCGGTCACACACGCACGCGGTCGCACGGCAGTCACACACGCACGCGGTCGCACGGCGGTCACACACGCACGTGCTCGTGGTCGCATCGCCCTGTTCCACTGGCACGCCGACAGCCGAGCCGACGACGGGACCCCCCCGCGTGGCGTAACGGGTGGATTGCCACTGGCTATTTAAACTTCACCGCGAAGACTGTTTTGATTTTTTACCAGGTCAGGCCCCCAGTGAACTACGTGGCTCGTATATTTCGATTTAAAGCTTTCGTGACTGCAGGGATTCATCTTCTTGGTTCCAAGGAGATACATGGCTCGTTTTTCAGAAGTGACCTGGAAACACAAACGACAGCTCAACGAAGCGTGCTGATCATCACGTGGAAGACGTACAGCAGCCAAATACTCTAAGCGCGTGATGTCGATTCGAAATGTGGAGGGAAAAACCGGGGGACCGGAGAAATATCCGCGTGACCACGGAGAGAGAGACACGCAGACTTTACCAAAAGACGCAAAGAATATAAATTCCTGCAGTCACGAAATGATTTAAGTCAAGATTTGAAGTGAAACTCATTGGAAACTATTTTTATTTTACGAGGTGAGCCATACGGCTCTTTATCAGAAGCGACTTGGCTATCACAAATGATAGCTCAACGAATTTGGCTCATCATCATCATCATCACGTAGAAGTTGTATACCAGCCAAATACTCTCAACGCGTGTGACGTTGATTAAAAATGTGGAGGTGAAAACCAGAGAAAAATCCACTCGACCACGGGGAGAGCGAGAGAGACACACAAACTCCAATTATACAGCAGCAGGCGCCATGGTCGGGATCGAACCCACGAACTCCTGCACACCAGGCGAGGTGGTTAACATCTCGCCACTAACGACGCACTCGCAAGATGTGGGGGGGGGGTCAAGCGGGTTTTACAAATTTGGCGTCCGTGTCACCTGTTGTCAGCGGCAAAGTCGAGGCCCTGCGGCCCGTTTTGTCGCCGCACCCAACATCGGAGCGGCGGGAGGACGCGCTCGCGCCGTCCGCGATCGTACCGGATGAGAAATTCGTGTGGCTTTTGACCCTTTGACCCTCGGGCCGCGGGGCTGCCGCCCTCCCTAACGGTGCCGAGCGATCTTACCCGACACCTTGTAGGCCTCGAAGAAGCGGGAGAAGAGGACGGGCCACTTTACGCGCGCAAAGTCGACCATCTTCTCCTGCACCGCCAGAGCGCTCAGGCCTTGCTTCGCGTAGTCAGACTGCGCACACGCACACACGCGTGCACATACACACGCACACACACGTGTACACACACGCGCACACACATGTACACACACGCGCGCACATACACACGCACACATACACATACACGCATACACATACACACGCGCGCACATACACACGCACACACGCACACATCACATATACACATACACACGCACACACACGTGTACACATACACGCGTACACATACACACGCGCACACGCGCACACACATGTACACACACGTACACATACACACGCACACACATGTACACACACACGTACACACACGTGTACACACACACGCACACACACGTGTACACACACACGCACACACATGTACACACACACGTACACGCGCACACACACACACGCACACACGCGGACACTCACCCACACACTCTCACCATCCCACCCCCCCCCCCCCCCGTGACACCCACCTGTCTCAGCGCCTCCTCCACCTCGCCGGCCCACACCGAGCGGTGTTTGGCGGCGGTGAGCGCCCGCTCGGGCACCGTCTCGGCCACCGCCTGAGCAACGTCCGCCGCCGAGGGGCTGGCGCCGTGCTGCACGAAGCAGCGCCACGCCACCAGCTGCACCAGCTCGGAGTCCTGGCACGCGCCACGCCGCGCACGGTGCAGCGTCAGCCCCCGGTGAGAGAGCCTCGCTCCCTCGCTCGCCCACTCGCTCGCTCCCCCACTCGCTCGCTCCCTCGATCGCCCCCTCGATCGCCCCCTCCCTCCCTCGCTCGCCCCCTCCCTCCCTCCCTCGCCCCCTCCCTCCCTCCCTCGCTCGCCCCCTCCCTCCCTCGCTCGCCCCCTCGCTCGCCCGCTCCCTCGCCCCCTCGCTCGCCCCCTCACTCTGGTTCAGCTCGGGCGTCCCGTAAACCACGTGGCATCCCGCGTGTGGCCGCGCCTCCGATTCGGAATCACTCCGCTATCACTTGTGCGTCTCGCTCGCTCCCTCTCTCTATCGCTCTCTTATCTAAAATCGGCTCAAGCCTCCCATGAACCACAGAGGACGTCCCAGAAAAAAAATTCGGGACGGGTGGCGGGGTCACGGGTGGCGACCCTGCCAAGGCAATAAAATAAATACCGTTCTGTGCAGCAGTCCTCGGAAATCTGTAAGTCATGTTGTGGCGTGCGTCTCGCGTGTTGTGGCGTGCGTCTCGCGTGTTGTGGCGTGACACCCACGTGTTGTGGCGTGCGACTCGCGTGTTGTGGCGTGACACCCACGTGTTGTGGCGTGCGTCTCGCGTGTTGTGGCGTGCGTCTCGCGTGTTGTGGCGTGACACCCACGTGTTGTGGCGTGCGTCTCGCGTGTTGTGGCGTGACACCCACGTGTTGTGGCGAGCGTCTCGCGTGTTGTGGCGTGACACCCACGTGTTGTGGCATGCGTCTCGCGTGTTGTGGCGTGACACCCACGTGTTGTGGCGTGCGTCTCGCGTGTTGTGGCGTGACACCCACGTGTTGTGGCGAGCGTCTCGCGTGTTGTGGCGTGACACCCACGTGTTGTGGCGTGACACCCACGTGTTGTGGCGTGCGTCTCGCGTGTTGTGGCGTGCGTCTCGCGTGTTGTGGCGTGACACCCACGTGTTGTGGCGTGCGTCTCGCGTGTTGTGGCGTGCGTCTCGCGTGTTGTGGCGTGACACCCACGTGTTGTGGCGTGCGTCTCGCGTGTTGTGGCGTGACACCCACGTGTTGTGGCGTGCGTCTCACGTGTTGTGGCGTGTGTCTCACGTGTTGTGGCGTGCGTCTCGCGTGTTGTGGCGTGACACCCACGTGTTGTGGCGAGCGTCTCGCGTGTTGTGGCGTGACACCCACGTGTTGTGGCGTGCGTCTCGCGTGTTGTGGCGTGACACCCACGTGTTGTGGCGTGCGTCTCGCGTGTTGTGGCGTGACACCCACGTGTTGTGGCGAGCGTCTCACGTGTTGTGGCGTGACACCCACGTGTTGTGGCGTGACACCCACGTGTTGTGGCGTGCGTCTCGCGTGTTGTGGCGTGCGTCTCGCGTGTTGTGGCGTGACACCCACGTGTTGTGGCGTGCGTCTCGCGTGTTGTGGCGTGCGTCTCGCGTGTTGTGGCGTGACACCCACGTGTTGTGGCGTGCGTCTCGCGTGTTGTGGCGTGCGTCTCGCGTGTTGTGGCGTGACACCCACGTGTTGTGGCGTGCGTCTCGCGTGTTGTGGCGTGACACCCACGTGTTGTGGCGTGCGTCTCACGTGTTGTGGCGTGTGTCTCACGTGTTGTGGCGTGCGTCTCGCGTGTTGTGGCGTGACACCCACGTGTTGTGGCGTGCGTCTCACGTGTTGTGGCGTGACACCCACGTGTTGTGGCGTGCGTCTCACGTGTTGTGGCGTGTGTCTCACGTGTTGTGGCGTGCGACTCGCGTGTTGTGGCGTGACACCCACGTGTTGTGGCGAGCGACTCACCGTGTCGGCGCGGTACTCGCCGAAGCGCAGGCCGCGCACCACCTGGCGGTAGATGAGCTCGGTGGCGACGGCGTCGGCGCCGGCGTCGTGCCACGGCGCGAAGAGCTCCTTGCGGAAGATGAGGCGCCAGGGGGCGGCCTGCTCGGTGCCGCCGGCCTGCTCGCGGCTCAGCTGCTCGCACTGCGACACCGCGTCCAGCACGTGCTCCCGGCCCCCGCCCAGCGACGACACCTGCGGTCGCGATCGGGTCACGGTGGGGTCACGGCAGGGTCACGGTGGGGTCACGGCAGGGTCACGGTGGGGTCGCGTCGGGGTCACGGTGGGGTCACGTCAGGGTCACGGCAGGGTCACGGTGAGGTCGCGACGAGGTCACGACGAGGTCACGGTGGGGTCACGGCAGGGTCACGGTGGGGTCACGGCAGGGTCACGGTGGGGTCACGTCGGGGTCACGGTGGGGTCATGTTGGGGTCACGGTAAGGTCATGGTAGGGTCACAGCAGGGTCACGGTGGGGTCGCTACGGGATCACGGTTGGGTCACGGCAGGGTCACAGTGGGGTCATGGTTTAGAGCAGGGGTCGGCAACCAACATATATAGAAGAGCCAACTTTTTTTTTTATTCCGTGAACAACATTTGAAGAGTCGCAATGCAACGTGAATTCGAGACGGTGATGCTTCATAAATAATTGTCACGAAGCAGCCTTCGAAAGAGCCGCCGGTTGCCGACCCCCTGGGTTCAGAGTTACGACGGGGGTCACTCGCCCCGTCACTCGCTCGTCACCCGGTTATCACCCGTCGCCCGTCACCCGTCACCCCTCCCGTCACCCCTCCCGTCACCCCTCCCGTCACCCCTCCCGTCACCCCTCCCGTCGCCCCTCCCGTCGCCCCTCCCGTCGCCCCTCCCGTCGCAACCTCCCGTCGCCCCTCCCGTCGCCCCTCCCGTCACCCCTCCCGTGTCACCTTGTTCTGGAAGGAGATGAAGAGGGAGAAGCCGAAGTCGTCCTGCAGGCCGATCTTGCCGGCGAGAGCCGCCACGAGCTCGCGTGCCGTGCACGCCGAGTCGGCGCTCAGCGGCACCGTGCGGCCGTCCATCAGCCCCACGGGCAGCGGCGACACGCGCCGGGACTTGGTGGCCTGCGCCGGGTCACGGGGGCGGCAAGGGGACCGCCACGGGAGGAGTCGGGGGGCAGCGAGAGATTGGGAGAGTCGGGGGGCAGCGAGAGATTGGGGGAGTCGGGGGGCAGCGAGAGATTGGGGGAGTCAGGAAGAGCGAGGGATTGTGGAGGTGGCGGTGTAAATAGTCGCGGTGGTGGTTGTGGAGGTGATGGTGGTGGATGTGGTGGTGGAGGTGATGAGGGAGATGGTGATGGAGGTGGAGCTGTGATAGTGGAGGTGTGATAGTGGTGGTGGTAGCAGTGATTGTAATGGGTGTGGAGGTGGTGGTGGAGCTGATGATGAATATGGTGATGGAGGTGGTGGTGGTGGAGGTGTGATAGTGGTGGTGGTAGCAGTGATTGTAATGGGTGTGGAGGTGGTGGTGGAGCTGATGATGAAGACGGTGATGGAGGTGGTGATGGTGGAGGTGGTGATGGTGGAGGTGGTGATGGTGGAGGTGGTGATGGTGGAGGTGGTGATGGTGGAGGTGGTGATGGTGGAGGTGGTGATGGTGGAGGTGGTGATGGTGGAGGTGGTGATGGTGGAGGTGGTGATGGTGGAGGTGCTGGCAGTGGTGGTGGCGGTACAAAGAAGAGGACACCCACCTGCATCTCGAGCCAGCTGGGGGGCTGGGTTCGGCACCCGTTGGCCAGAGTCCTCTTGAGGCGCGCGTCGCAGTACGGCGCGTACCCTGGCGGCCCCTCACTCAGGAAGCTCCTCAGGTACTGGACGGGGGGGCAGGGAGGGGAGGCGGGGCAGAGGGGGGCAGAGGGGGGCAAGGGGGGGGCAGGGGGGGGAGAGAGGTAGCGTTCCACCGTGTCTGTGCGAGCACGTGTCGTCGTCGCTGGGACCGCGTGCGGATCGTCACCGGAGCCGATCCCCGGAGTTCTATTCCCGCTCGCGGCCACCGCCGACACCGATGACGACTATATCTCAGCCGGTCGTGGGCCTTCCCTGGGTCGACTCAGCCTCAAATAACTACTACCTGGGGAGAGACAAAGGCTGTCGGGCGTGGTGCTGGCCACCCACCCCCTCGTATGTTGCTGCTTCTCGCTAACAGCACTTGCCCCGACAGTCTGTTAAGGCTACACGGGGGAATCTTTGTCTAGTATGTAAGTTGTATGTATGGTGTATGTATGTTGAAATTTTTTTCCACCGCACGTAAGCCAACCGTGCCTAATCGGTGGCACGGGCGAGTGTCAACCGAACACTTTCCATCTCACAGACGGCGAGCGTGGTGACCGATGGGAGGTCTTCGTCCTCTCTGGCTGTGCAGGCAACTGAAAAGGTGTTTTTGATTTCCCACCCACGACTTACCCCCTTGACGATTTCTGGGCAATTTGAAACCGAAATAAAACGATGCTTATACGGACCGCGACATTCACAAACCACCACGGCGAGTCACTGGCAGCAGTTTAAGGTGGGTGGTGAGCATCTGGTGAGAGAAGTCTTAACTAAAACTAGACTTTAATTGAAAAATAAGAATGGGTTTTTACCCCTTTCTGGCAATAAAACAGGTGTTCAGATTCTAGATTTGAAGCTTTCGTGACTGCAAGGATTCATATTCTTAGGTTTTTTCGGTAACGTCACGTAGGTAAAAAATTTAATTAATAAAAGTTAAATAAAAATAAAATAAAAATCACGACGTTTCGGAGGCAACACAAGCTTCCGTCTTCAGGTGGAACCGTCACAGCACGATAGCTGTATCAAGTAAGAGAAATTCCAAGAAAACAGTCCTTGTATATACACTGGTTGACCTACGTGACTTTACCGAAAAACCTAAGAATAGAAGGTGTTCAGATGTTCGAACACCAAATAGATTAAGCTTTTTGCAAGGAATCGACTATTTTACTTTCTGGATTGGTACTCCCACAGTCTGCACCTTGTCCTGATGTTGCTCCACGCAGTCTCGAGTTCATTTCTAATCGCTAGAAAAAATGCGCTTGTGAGAATCATTCTAGATTTTAAGTTTTCGTGACTGCAATGCTCCATACTCTTTGGTTCTTTCGGTAAAGTCACGTAGGTGAAAATAAAATTAAAATAACTAATTCACGACGTTTCGGAGGCAACACAAGCCTCCGTCATCAGGTGGGACAACCACAGCAAAAATGTTTTTGCTGTGTTGCCTCCAAAACGTCGTGATTTAGTTATTTTCATTTAATTTTCACCATCGTGACTTTACCGAAAGAACCAAAGAATATGTGAGAATCATTCTTCAACTTGAAACAACAAAAAAAGTAGCAAACAATTTTTTTTTTATATCGGGTCGGATTTTTTTTTTGTTATCTTACCAGGGCAAGGCCCCGACTGAGATGCCATCACGAATGATGGCCCAACGAAGTGGCCTAATCATCAGCATAATCATCACCACGTAGACATTCACAGCAGCAGCTAAACAATTCGGAAAACGCGCAGGACGCCGATTCTAAACGTGGGAGGGAACAAAAACGGAGGACCCGGAGAAAAATCCACGCGACCACGGGGAGAGAGAGAGAGAGAGACACGCAAACTCCACGACCTCCTGCGCACCAGGCGAGAGAGTAAACATCTCAGGTGGTTGGTGAGCGGCACCTTGCTGAAGTTGTCGGAGGGAGGGAAGCAGCCGAGGCAGAGGGAGAGGAGAATCCAGCCGCGGGCGTAGCTGCTGCGGATCAGATTGTCGCCGATCTGCTTGCAGATCTGGCAGTAGATCTCATCCCTGGCGCACGCCAAAGACAAAGATTCACTCCGGTATAGCCTTGCGGGCAAGCGCTGTTAGCGAGCACAAAGACAAAGATCCCCCCCCCCCCGGTATAACCTGGACAGACTGTCGGGGCAAGCGCTGTGAGGGAGCACACAGACAAAGATCCCCCGTATAGACTTAACAGACTAAGGGCAAGTGCTGTTAGCGAGCACCTATGAAGGCCGGCACGGCACACGAGGGGGTGGGTGGCCAGCACCACACCCGGCCGCCTTTGTGGCAATGTTTTTTTTTACACACCGCACCAGGTACTCATTTAAGGCTGAGTCGACCTAGGACCGGTTCAGATAATCGTCACTGGTGTTAGCCGTGAGCGGGAATCGAACCCGGGTCGCCAGGTTCATAGCGCAGCGCGCTAACCGCTACACCACCGCTCGTCACACACGTACACACACACACGTACACACACACACGTACACACACATACACACACACACGTACACACACACACGTACACACACACACGTACACACACGTACACATACACACGTACACACACACACGTACACACACACACACGTACACACACACACGTACACACACACGTACACACACACACGTACACACACACACGTACACACACACACACGTACACACACACGTACACACACACGTACACACACACAGCACAGCACACCACACACACACCACACACACAACCACATGCTCACCAAACACACAGCACATACACACACAGCACATACACACACACCACACACACAGCACACCACACACACACATACAGCACACCACACACACAGCACACAGCACACACAGAGCACACCACACACAGCACACACACCTAACACAGCACACACACCTAACACACACACACCGCACACACACACACCTAACACACACACACACCGCACACACACCTAAAACACACACACCGCACACACACACCTAGCACACACACCCCACACACACACACCACACACACCTAACACACACACCGAACACACACACGTACACACGTACATACACACACGTACACACACACACGTACACACACGTACACACACGCACACACACGTACACACAACACAACACAACAACCGCCATTCGCCACTAAGTGGCGGTGACGTCACCACGATGCTTGTGCCAGGCCAAGTGCACCTTGAGGCCACGTGAAGTGTCGAAAGCCCGCTGGCAGGAGGTCACGGGGCAGACCCAGGTGCCACTGGTCGACTGACCGAGATGCGCGAGATGACTGGCTGATGCACCACCTGTGCCCCCTACTGTGCCAACTTGCTGTGCTTTAGCCACCCGGCGCTCCGCTCGTTGTTGTGAGCGTCGCTCCTCCGCCCTCCGTTGTTGTTGGAGGGCGACTGCCTCCAACTGCCCAGTAGCGTCCTTCACGAGCCTCCTCCACTGAGGCCGATCTTGACACCGCTGGTACCAGTCATCGGCAAGTCCACTCAGCTCCACGTCCTCCTGTACCACATCACTCCATCTCTTCTCCAGCCCGTGCCGCGCCCGTCTAGCCCCCTCGATCCGGCCGAACAAAAGCTGTTTAGGCATGCGGTGGCTGGGCATGCGGGCTACATGACCCAGCCAACGCAGCCTTGCCTGCCGGAGGAGCTCACTGATGGGACTTTGCCCAGATCTTTCAAGGATTTGTGAGCTCCTCACACAATCCAGCCTGGTTAAACCCAGGATGGATCGTAGGCAGGCCAGCCTAAATGTTTCCAACCGGCGAAGATGCTCCACCAGGGGGGTCCACGTCTCGCAAGCGTAGAGAAGGGAGGGAATGACCGTGGCCGAGAAGACCTGAAGCTTCGTGCGGAGCGACAGACCAGGTAGCTTCCACACAGCGTTACGCAACCGATGAAAAGATATTGCCGCTCGACTGATTCGGAGTGAGACCTCTGCTGATAGACTGGAGCCAGTCATAAGCACACTGCCCAGGTATGGGAAACTCTCCACTCTCTCCACAACTGCCCCATCACCAATTGGGAGTTGTGGGGGTGGAGTGTCCGATGGTACAAAATACCCAGGCAGGTGCTTGGTTTTGGTGGGGCTGATGGTAAGGCCCCACCTCTTAGTGGCACGCTCCAGTCCCAGCAGCAGCGCCTCCAACTCCTCTTCTGAATGAGCAGCTATTACCAAATCATCGGCATACATAACGTGGTTGACCAATAGGGAGCCATCCCTTGATCGCACCCGGGCGTCGATCAGCCTCCCATTATATCTGTACCAAACGGAAATTCCCCCGGTACAGCTATTGAAGGCTTCACGAACTACGCGGTCAAAATAGATGTTAAATAATGTGGGAGCCAGAGGACATCCCTGTCGCACCCCAAGGTGTACAGGGAAAGGCTCCGACTCCCGGCCACGTAGTTTTACCCGGGCCCGCTCACCATCATGAAGGTCCTTAATGATCGTGAGCAGAGGGTCAGGGACTCCGAAAGCACGAAGAACAACCCAGAGTCCAGTCCTACTGATGGTATCATAGGCCTTGACCAGGTCAATAAAGCAGAGATGTAGGTCTTTTTGGAATTCCCTACACCTCTGCTGTAGCAGACGGACAGAAAATATGGCATCTGTGCAGGACCGCCCTTTCCTGAAACCGCATTGGGGCTCCGCAAGCCCCTCCTCAGCGTGCCTAGCAAGGCGATGTTGAATAATCCTTGCCAGGACCTTACCCGGCACACTGAGGAGTGAGATGCCCCTGTAGTTGTTACAGTCTGTGCGGTCCCCCTTCTTAAAGAGGGGGACCACCAGGGCATCCTTCCAGTCCTGCGGAACCCGTCCAGTGGTCCAGACTGTTGTTATGATGTCATATAGGGCAGTCTGTGCACAAACGCCACCCTCCCTCAGCATTTCGCTTGGGAGATCATCTCTGCCCGGTGCCTTCCCTGGTCTCAGACTCCGGATCGCCCTCAGTACTTCCTCAACAGCTGGAACCTCAGCCAGCCACTCACAGGGGGTGACCTCTTCCAATATTTGAGGCACCGCAGCCTCAGCAGGGTTATCCCCACTTTGTGCCATGATGTTTTCCTGGCTGAGAGAATTTCCCTCCCCCAGGACCTCACAGAAATGCTCAGCACACACACACACACGTACACACACACACGTACACACACGTACACACGCGTACACACACACACGCGTACACACACACACGTACACACACACACGTACACACACGCACACACACGTACACACACGTACACACACACACGTACACACACACACGTACACACACACGTACACACACACGTACACACACACACGTACACACACACGTACGTACACACACACACACACACGTACACACACACACATACACACACGCACACACACGTACACACACACACATACACACGTACACACACACACGTACACACACACACGTACACACACACACGTACACACACACACGTACACACACACACGTACACACACACACACGTACACACACACACACGTACACACACACACGTACACACACACACGTACACACACGCACACACGTACACACACACGTACACACACACACGTACACACACACGTACACACACACACGTACACACACACACGTACACACACACAGGTACACACACACACACGTACACACACACACGTACACACACACGTACACACACACACGTACACACACACACACGTACACACGTACACACACACACACGTACACACACGTACACACACGTACACACACACACGTACACACACACAGCACAGCACACCACACACACACCACACACACAACCACATGCTCACCAAACACACAGCACATACACACACAGCACATACACACACCACACACACAGCACACCACACACACACATACAGCACACCACACACACAGCACACAGCACACACAGAGCACACCACACACAGCACACACACCTAACACACACACACCGCACACCGCACACACACACACCTAACACACACACACCGCACACACACCTAAAACACACACACCGCACACACACACCTAGCACACACACCCCACACACACACACCACACACACCTAACACACACACCGAACACACACACGTACACACGTACACACACACACGTACACACACACACGTACACACACACAGGTACACACACACACACACGTACACACACACACGTACACACACACACGTACACACACACGTACACACACACACGTACACACACACACACGTACACACACACACACGTACACACACGTACACACACACACACGTACACACACACACGTACAACACACACAGCACAGCACACCACACACACACCACACACACAACCACATGCTCACCAAACACACAGCACATACACACACAGCACATACACACACCACACACACAGCACACCACACACACACATACAGCACACCACACACACAGCACACAGCACACACAGAGCACACCACACACAGCACACACACCTAACACACACACACCGCACACCGCACACACACACACCTAACACACACACACCGCACACACACCTAAAACACACACACCGCACACACACACCTAGCACACACACCCCACACACACACCCCACACACACCTAACACACACACCGAACACACACACGTACACACGTACACACACACACGTACACACACACACGTACACACACACGTACACACACACACACGTACACACACACGTACACACACACACACGTACACACACACACGCACACACGTACACACACACGTACACACACACACGTACACACACACACGTACACACGTACACACACGTGCATACGTACACACACGTACACACACACACGTACACCACACGTACACACGTACACACACGTACACACACACGTACACACGTACACACACGTGCATACGTACACACACACACGTACACACGTACACACACACGTACACACACACACGTACACACACACACACGTACACACACACACGTACACACACACACGTACACACACGTACACACACACACGTACACACACACACACGTACACACACACACGTACACACACACACGTACACACACACACGTACACACACACAGGTACACACACACGCACACACACACACACGTACACACACACACACGTACACACACACACGTACACACACACGTACACACACGCGCACACGTACACACACACACACAGGTACACACACGTACACACACACACACGTACACACACACACACGTACACACACACACGTACCAACACACACGTACACACACACACGTACACACGTACACACACACACGTGCATACGTACACACACGTACACCACACGTACACACACACGTACACACACACACGCACACACGTACACACACACACGTACACACACACGTACACACACACACGTACACACACACACACGTACACACACACACGTACACACACACACGTACACACACACACACACGTACACATACACACGTACACACACACGTACACACACACGCACACACACACACGTACACACACACGTACACACACACACACACACGTACACACGTACACATACACACGTACACACACACGTACACACGTACACACACGTACACACACACGTACACACACGTGCATACGTACACACACACGTACACACACACACGTACACACACACGTACACACGTACACACACGTACACACACACACGTACACACACACGTACACACACACGTACACACACACACACGTACACACACACACGTACACACACACACGTACACACACACGTACACACACACACGTACACACACACACGTACGCACAACACGTACACACGTACACACACACGTACACACGTACACACACACACGTACACACACACGTACACACACACGTACACACACACACGTACACACACACACACGTACACACACACACGTACACACCCCACACACACACACCACACACACCGAACACACACACGTACACACACACACGTACACACACACACGTACACACACACACATACACACACACACGTACACACGTACACACACACACGTGCATACGTACACACACGTACACACACACAAGTACACACACACACACGTACACACACACACGTACACACGTCACACACACACACGTACACACACACACGTACACACGTCACACACGTACACACACACACACGTACACACACACACGTACACACACACACGTACACACACGTACACACACGTACACACACACGTACACACACACGTACACACACGCACACACACGTACACACACGTACACACACACGTACACACGTACACACACACACGTACACACACACACGTACACACACACACACGTACACACACACACGTCACACACGTACACACGCGTACACACACACGTACACACACAGGTACACACACACACAGGTACACACACACACACACAGGTACACACGCACACACGTATACACACACACACACGTACACACACACACACGTACACACACACACGTACACACACGTACACACACACGTACACACACACGTACACACACGCACACACACGTACACACACGTACACACACACGTACACACGTACACACACACACGTACACACACACACGTACACACACGTACACACACACACACGTACACACACACACGTGCACACACACGTACACACGCGTACACACACACGTACACACACAGGTACACACACACACACAGGTACACACACACACACAGGTACACACGCACACACGTATACACACACACGTACACACACACACACGTAGACACACACGTACACACACACACGTACACACACACACACGTAGACACACACGTACACACACACACGTACACACACACACGTACACACGTACACACACACGTACACACACACACGTACACACACACACACACACGTAGACACACACGTACACACACACACGTACACACACACACGTGCATACACACACGTACACACACACACACGTACACACACACACACACGTACACACACACACGTACACACACACACGTACACGTACACACACACACGTACACACGTACACGTACACACACACAGACACACACACAGACACACACACACACACGTACACACACACACACACGTACACACACACACACGTACACACACACACGTACACACACACACGTACACACACACACGTACACACACACACGTACACACACGTGCATACGTACACACACACACGTGCATACGTACACACACGTACACACACACACGTACACACACACACGTACACACGTACACACACACACGTGCATACGTACACACACGTACACACACACACGTACACACACACACGTACACACACACACGTACACACACACACGTACACACACACACGTACACACACAGGTACACACACACACAGGTACACACACACGTACACACGTACGCACACACACACGTACACACACACACATACACACACACACGTACACACGTACACACACAGGTACACACACACACACAGGTACACACACACACACAGGTACACACACACACACAGGTACACACACACACACACGTACACACACACACACGTACACACGTACACACACGCACACACGTACACACACACGTACACACACACACACGTACACACACACACATACACACGTACCGGATCGCGGGCCGCAGGATGGCATAGCCGATGATGAAGTGGACCTTCTGGAGGTTGTTGAGCGGCGCCTCCTCCAGCCACTCGGTCCCCTTCGCTCCGCGCGGGTTCTGTGCAGAGCCACGTGGAGCATCGTCGCCTTGAGGAACCACCACACCGGTGCAGTGTGTGTGGTGTGTGTGTGTGGTGTGTGTGTGTGGGGTGTGTGGTGTGTTGTGTGCGTGTGGTGTGTGTGGTGTGTGTGATGTGTGGGGTGTGTGTGGGGTGTGTGTGTGTGGTGTGGTGTGTGTGGTGTGGTGTGTGTGTGTTAGGTGTGTGTGGTGTGTGTGTGTTAGGTGTGTGTGCGGTGTGTGTGTGTGTGCGGTGTGTGTGTTTTAGGTGTGTGTTAGGTGTGTGTGTGTGCGATGTGTGTGTGTGTGCGGTGTGTGTGTTTTAGGTGTGTGTGTGCGGTGTGTGTGTGTTAGGTGTGTATGTGTTAGGTGTGTGTGTGTGTGCGGTGTGTGTGTTTTAGGTGTGTGTTGCGGTGTGTGTGTTAGGTGTGTGTGGGGTGTGTGTGTGTTAGGTGTGTGTGTGTGTGGTGTGTGTGTGGTGTGTGTGTGTGTTAGGTGTGTGTGGTGTGTGTGTGTTAGGTGTGTGTGCGGTGTGTGTGCGGTGTGTGTGTTTTAGGTGTGTGTGTTAGGTGTGTGTGTGTGCGATGTGTGTGTGTGTGCGGTGTGTGTGTTTTAGGTGTGTGTGTGCGGTGTGTGTGTTAGGTGTGTATGTGTTAGGTGTGTGTGTGTGTGCGGTGTGTGTGTTTTAGGTGTGTGTTGCGGTGTGTGTGTTAGGTGTGTGTGGTGTGTGTGTGTGTTAGGTGTGTGTGTGTGTGGTGTGTGTGTGTGTTAGGTGTGTGTGGTGTGTGTGTGTTAGGTGTGTGTGCGGTGTGTGTGTGTGTGCGGTGTGTGTGTGTGTGCGGTGTGTGTGTTAGGTGTGTGTGTGTGTGCGATGTGTGTGTGTGTGTGCGGTGTGTGTGTTTTAGGTGTGTGTGTGCGGTGTGTGTGTTAGGGGTGTGTGTGTGCGGTGTGTGTGTTTTAGGTGTGTGTGTGCGGTGTGTGTGTGTTAGGTGTGTGTGTGCGGTGTGTATGTGTTAGGTGTGTGTGTGTGTGCGGTGTGTGTGTGTTAGGTCTGTGTTAGGTGTGTGTGTGTGCGCTCTGTGTGTGCTGTGTGTGGTGTGCTGTGTGTGGTTGTGTGTGTGCTGTGTGTATGTGCTGTGTGTTTAGTGAGCGTGTGGTTGTGTGTGTGGTGTGTGTGTGGTGTGCTGTGTGTGTGCTGTGCTGTGTGTGTGGTGTGTGTATGCTGTGCTGGGTGTGTGTGGTGTGCTGTGTGTGTGGTGTGGTGTGTGTGTGTGTGTGGTGTGTGTTGTGTGTGTGGTGTGGTGTGTGTGTGCTGTGTGTGTGGTGTGTGTGTGCTGTGTTGTGTGTGTGGTGTGTGTGTGGTGTGTGGTGTGCTGTGTGTGTGGTGTGCTGTGTGTGGGGTGGTGTGTGTGCTGTGTGTGTGGTGTGTGTGGTGTGTGTGTGTGTATGTGCTGTGTGTGTGGTGAGTGTGTGGTTGTGTGTGTGTGTGGTGTGCTGTGTGTATGTGCTGTGTGTGTGGTGAGTGTGTGGTTGTATGTGTGTGTGTGGTGTGCTGTGTGTATGTGCTGTGTGTGTGGTGAGTGTGTGCTGTGTGTGTGTGGTGTGTGTGTGTGCTGTGTGTGTGCGCTACCTGCAGGCTCTCGTAGATGACGCGGATGATGGACACGCGGTTGGGGTCACGGTTGGGGTCACGCGCCCCCTGACCCCCCGTGGCTTGCGGCTCGGGGAGATCTCCCATGAAGCGCAGCACCATCCTCCACACGGCCACGCTGGCCTGGGGGTCACGCACACACACGTACATACACACACACACGTACACACACACACGTACATACACACGGACATACACACACACGGTACATACACACACACACACGTACATACACACACGTACATACACACACACACACGTACACACACACACGTACATACACACGGACATACACACACACGGTACATACACACACACACACGTACATACACACACGTACATACACACACACACACGTACACACACACACACACGGTACATACACACACGTACCTACACACACACACACACGCACACACACACGGTACATACACGTACACACACACGTACACACACACACGGTACACACACACGTACACACACGTACACGGTGCATACACATGGTGCACACACACGGTACACACACACGACACACATGCGGTACATACACACGGTATGAAAAATGTTTCTGTAAGGTGTTTTAACATCTTAACACCTCCTGTCTTATTGCCAGAAAGGGTGAACCGATTCTTATATATTTGTAGCGACGTATATTGAGTCACTAAGGCGTTGCGTCCGCTACTGAGAGTAGAGTGCAACTGTGCGTCTTAGAGCCTCTCTCTGTCACCAGAGTACGTATGGCATACGTGACGGTCTAGGATCAGGGGTGGGGAACGTCTGGCCCGCGGGCCGTATAAGGCCCGCGGAATCACTTGCTCTGGCCCTGCCAAGGCAACCGCACGACTCGAAATTCAAGAAATCTACGCGCTTTTTTCATAGCAACATAAATGTAATTTTGTGTGGCCCGCGAATGATGTTATAGATATCCAAATGGTCCTTGGCAGAAAAAAGGTTCCCCACCCCTGAACCCAAGAGGGCACGTGGCCTGCATAGGATGAGGGCGTGGGCCAGAAAGGGACCAAGGGAATAGGTGATGTAAGGTCCCACAGAACCTTCTGGAACAGATCCCGAAGGAGGCGTGGCCGAGGGCGGAGCGAGGCCACGCCCAGGAGGATAAAAGGGGCAGTCACGGGAGCGTTCTGGGCTGTCTTCTGGAATCAACCCGCGATGCTCGTTCGACATGATGGGTCAGGCAGTACGTTACTGACCTGACCCGTTTATATAGGGACCTTGTTGTGGTCTAGCTCCGTGGTAGTTACCACGTAGTCAGTTATCCCGAGTGGTACGCAGTTTATGTAGTTACCCTGTTGGGGTTTGTAGTAAACGTGTTGCCTCCATGTACAAATGTCTGCCTCCGTGGAACCCACTACCGTACACCAACACTGCACACAGTGTTGGTGTACGGTGATTTTTCTGCAATATTTTGCTGTCTTTTCTTTGATTTTCTGTTTGCACATAGTCACTTTAAGATGTTTTCTTGTTCATGTTTTAGTTTTTTTGTTTGTTGCGGTTGCACCCGATTCAAGAGCCGAATGGCTCACAGGGCTATACCTAATAAATGAAACTTGAAACTTGAAACTACATATTGATACTGGCAAGAAAGGTCACGATAGCAGTGAGAAGTACAGGACAGGTGAACTAATCACCAAAACACACACAAATACAACACTAAAACCATCCCCATCCTCCCAGGCAAAGCCCCACTGAGATATTAATGTTCATTTCAAAAGCTACCTGGTCACAAATCGTAGCTCAACAAAATGGCCCATCATTTGGACATTTATAGCAGAAAATTTAGATAAATATGGTAACGCCACTACTTACGAACGAGTTCGGTTGCAGAGGTCTGTTCATAGGTCGAATTGTTCGTAAGTACAAATTTACGCCTGTCGATTCCAAACACGCTGTACGGCGTGTACACTAAATACGGGGTTTGGCTTTAAAAGGTGTATAATCTCCTGTGGACGTAGATGCCACCGGTTCTTCATGTTGTGCAGATCTAGATGCCACTGGTTCTTCACGTTCTGCAGATCTAGATGCCACTGGTTCTTCACGTTCTGCAGATCTAGATGCCACTGGTTCTTCACGTTCTGCAGATCTAGATGCCACCAGTTCTTCACGTTCTGCAGATCTAGATGCCACTGGTTCTTCACGTTCTGCAGATGTAGATGCCATCACCGCCATCTATTGCGCGGCGGTATGAACTTACGACTCTCGGTTTCCGAACGGGCAACTGGACACACGGACCGGCTTTGCTCGTAACCTCTGAAAGTTCAAATTTCGATTTAAAGCTTTCTTGACTGCAGGGATTCATCTTCTTGGTTCTTTTGGTAAACAGACGATGTCTGTCTGACAGAGTCTGTCTTCTCGACAGACCTGGTCTTCACCTGAGAACGGCTGCTTGCGTTGTGGCCGAAACGTCGTGAGAATTATTTAATTATGTTTTATTTTTATTATTTTATTATTTCCATTCTACGTGACTCTGAAAGTTCGTAAGTCGATTTGTTTCGTAAGCAGAGGAGTCCCCGGAGTGTAGAACCCACCCGCCTGTCCGTCTCGTCCTGGTGGTGGAGCAGCGGCACCCGCAGCAGTCGCCTCTCGTGCGTGTGCGTGGAGCTGCCCTGGAAGTTGACTGCGGCGAACTTGGCGAAGGTGTAGTCCCGGAGCTCGCCGCGGCGTCGCTTCTCCTCCTCGTCGTCGTCGTCGTCGTCATCACCACGTTGCCCCAGGTCCTCATCCAAGTCCGTCGTCATGTCCATGCCGACGTGGTCCATTTCCTGGCGGGGTGGTGGTGGTGGCGGGGGAAAGAAAGGGGAGAGTGCTGCTGGCAGGGAGAGAGAGTGGTGGTGGTGGTGGCGGTGGGGAGAGAGGAGAGAGTGGTGGTGGTGGTGGTGGCGGGGAGAGAGAGGGGAGAGTGGAGAGTGGTGGTGGTGGTGGCGGTGGAGAGAGAGGAGAGAGTAGTGGTGGTGGTGGCGGTGGGGAGAGAGGAGAGAGTGGTGGTGGTGGTGGTGGCGGTGGGGAGAGAGAGTGGTGGTGCCGGGGCGAGAGAGGGGAGAGTGGTGGTGGTGGCGGTGGGGAGAGAGGAGAGAGTGGTGGTGATGGTGGCAGGGAGAGTGGTGGTGGTGGCGGTGGGGAGAGAGGGTGGTGGTGGTGGTGGCCGTTGCTTAAACGAGTGGAAACTCAGTCTTAAATGAATGAGCGAGCGAGCGAGTGTGGTTACCGAGCTGCGCTACGAACACGGCGACCCAAGTTCGAATCCCGCTCACGGCCAATGCACCGGTGACGATTATCTGAACCGGTCACGGGGTCTCCCCTGGGTCGACCCAGCTTCAAATAAGTACCTTGCGCGGTGTGTAGTAAACACCGTCACTGGGGAGACAAAGGCGGCCGGGCGTGGTGCTGGCCACCCACCCCCCCTACGTGCGCCCTGCCGGCCTTCGTAGGTTTGCTATTATCCTAACAGCGCTTGCCCCTTGCAAGCTACACGGTCTATAGGGGAAGTCATCTCCGTCTCTGTGTGTGAGTGAGCGTGCGAGCGAGCTTGCAACGGCACCTCCATGGCGGTGAGTCCCAAGAAGCCGAAGATCTCGTCCAGCATTTTGTCTTCGTTCCTGTCCAGGTCCATGTCCTCCTTGAATTCCTCCTGGACCATGGGCAGACCCTGCACCGCAACGTTGGCCACATTCACAGTTCAGAGCCAGCGACGGTCAGAGGTCGCAACCGGGTACCCGATACCCGTACCCTACCCGATACCCGGCTACCCGTACCCGGCCGGGTACGAGTACGGGTACCCGTTTGCGACCCTGGTGCGGCCGGGTACGGGTAGGCCGGGAGTCACTGGTGAGTAACCGTTTGTCACTCATTTCCCAACGTCTTGTCTCTTCTCACAATTCAAGTTCCTAGAATCAACCCACCCGCGCCTGCAACATGGCTTTATCCCAGAGGTCGCAATCAGGTACCCGATACCCGTACCCTACCCGTACCCGGCTGGGCCTGCGAAGGGAGAAGCCTGGCATAGGCCCGCTGGCCGGTCGTCCCCTGGGGGGGGGGGGGGGGGGGGGTAGCGGCTAGGCGGCTGGGCCTTCCCGGCCCCTCACCTGGGTTTTATGGAGCCGATAGCGCCGGCGAGCGATGAGGCCGCGCGCGTGAGCCTGGATGACGACGGCGGCGCGGCGCGTGCGGGAGAACTGCAGCACCAGTTTGCGGCTCTGCACCACCGCTTGCAGCCGGGCCAGGCCCAGCTTGATCTGAGTGGGGGGAGGGAGACGCGGGGGGAGGGAGACGCGGGGCGACGGGGTTCGGTTAGAGCGACGGAGGAACTCACGAGTTCAATTCCACCGGTCGGGTGTCAGGAAGAATGGGTGGAGCAGGCTGTTGACAGGCCACCAGGCTCTTCCCTTTAACGTTACAACTGGCGACTTTAGCAGCGTGCGGATGTCGAACCTCTTTTGCACCGTGCATAGCCAACCGAGCGAATCGGGAGGTGTGGAGCGATGAAGTCACGGTTGTGTTCATTGCATGCCTTGGGGATTGTGGCTGATCGATTTAGGGATGCCACAGTGGCGAAATGTGAATTACCTCGCCTGGTATGCAGGAGGTCGTGGGTTAAATAGCGACCTTGCCACATGCATGTTTTTCACGTGGCCGCGTGTATTTTTCTCCTGGTCCTTCGGTTTTTCCCTCCACATTTAGAATCAACGTAACGCATTTCGAGAATGTGGCTGCCATACATTGCCACATGGTGAGCCACTTCGTTGCGCTGCGTACCCCAGTGGGCCTTACCTGGTAAAATAAAAAGTTATTTTAATAGCTTAGTCGAGGCAGGTAAGCCGTGCACCGTATACCGTCCGGTATCGCCGTCGCCTGCGGTTAAACCAAGCAGGCTACGTCCGTAGCGGCCTCCGGCGCAGGTGAGCGGTGGTACCCCCCCACCAGCCCCAGCCCCAGCCCTACCGTGAGGTAGAATCGGCGCTCCGAGTAACCGCGCCAGTGCTTCTGGATCATGACGGACGCCGCCCTCATCTTCAGGAAGCGTTTCCTGCGGGCGACGCGGATCGCATGGCGAGTCGGGGACCGCCGTCATTAATCGTCCAGGGGAAATCCGATGAGCTATGAAGCTCTTTATTGTTTTCTTTTGGCAGACGCCCACCACCGGAATCAAATCTCACCGTCCAGGTGGGTGACGAATAGTAATATACATCGGGTAGCCCCACCCACTACTCGGATAGCTCCTCTCACTACTCAGGTAGCCCCGCCCATTACTCGGGTAGCTCCTCCCACTACTCAGGTAGCTCCACTCAATCCTCAGGTAGCCGCACCCTCTGCCCGCATCATGAGTTTTTTTTAACGGGGACAAAGTCCGTAAGACTTTTGACAAATTCTTTGTGACACCGTGGACGGCCTTTCTAAAACCGGGACGGTCCCGACACAACCTGGACGCATGGTGGTTTTAATTTTGTGTAACCTGGTAGTGAGTGACCTGGGGCATGAGTATGCCAGTAAGGGGAGGAGGGGGGGCCGATGATTTATGTAGTTTCTGTATGTGAATGTGTGGTGAGCGCCAGTGTAGTGGTTAGCATACCACGCTACAAACCCGGTGACCCGAGTACGATTCCCGCTCACGGCCAACACCCGTGACGGATTATCTGCATCGGTCCTGGGTCTCCCCTAGGTCGATTCAGCCTCAAATGAGCACCTGGTGCGGTGTGGAAACATCGCCACTGGGGAGACAAAGGCAGGGTGGCGTGGCGCTGGCCACCCACCCCCTCGTGTGCCGTTCCAGCCGTCATAGGCGTTTACAAACAGCACTTGCCCCAATAGTCTGTTACAGGCTATATCGGGTAGGGGGGGGTTATTTGTCTTTGCGCGATTGTGGGTCGCGAGCGTCTCATCTCGCCACGGTGGGGCCTCACCGCGCGACGTAGACGCGCATCACGCCCTGGATCTTGGTGACCTTGTCGTTGATGCTCTTGTCCCTAGACAGCTCCAGCACCATGTCGTGATTGTCCTGGCGGCAGGCGAGACAACGGGAGGTGACACACGCAGGCGCCGGTTCCGGAGGATTCTCGTCGGCGACTTCCGCCCCGCCCACCCACTGACCCACTGACCCACCGACCCACCCACTGTACCCACCTACCCACCGCTCACTTACCCACCCACCGACCCACCCACCCACCCACTGTACCCACCCACCCACCGCTCACTGACCCACCCACCGACCCACCGCCCACCCACCCACCAACCCACCCACCCACTGTACCCACCCACCCACCGCTCACTGACCCACCCAACAACCCACCGCCCACCCACCAACCCACCGACTGGCCACCCACCAACGCACCACCCGCCCACCCACCGCCCCACTGACAGACCCACCCGTTGCCCACCCACCGACCAACCGAACCAACCCACCCACCCACTGTACCCACCCACCCACCGCTCACCGACCCACTCACCACCACCCACCCACCGCCCACCCACCACCCACCCACCCACTCACCCCCCCACTCACCCCCCCACCACCCACCCCCCAAATCCCCCCTACCCCCCCCCCCCAGCGCCTTCGATTCTACAGAAACCGTGCGGCACACGTGTGATGAATTCGCGACCAAAATGTTAACCTGTACATGTTGACGTATGTTGGACTTCTTTCCTACCGTGCATAGCCAACCGTTGCTGTTCGGAGGCTCTAAAGCTTGAAATGAATCGCGTGGTCAAGCGACCGAACCTTGAGGAAGACCTTGTTCTTTCCGATCTGGAAGTCCTCGTCCTTCCCCAGCGTGGCCCCCAGAATCTTCTTGCACGTTCCCATTGGGTTCGCCTGCCACGAGCAGCAGCCAGCGGCGGCAGTGGGCGCGTGAGTGCAAAGTGAGAATCAGAAAACGCATTTCTACTGCAGGAGGAGGATTCTGATGAGCAATATCATGGGACTTTTTTTTGCCACTATCAAAGTATGAATAATAAGAATGGGTTTTACCCTTTCTGGAAATAAAACAGGTGTTGATATCAGACGTACGAACAAACCTGGTCCATTGTTTGCATGTTTAATACTGCCAAAAAGGTATCCCATGTTGTAGCTGCTCAACCCAAGCTATAAATGCCCTGATAGTGCATTGTCTTTGTACTATCAGAGCATGTTTGTTTGCATGTTCACCACCAATACGTGTGGTTAGTGCGAACTTGCTTCCTTGCAAAAGGTTTCTATTTGGTGTTTGAACATCTTAACACCTGTTTTATTGCCAGAAAGGGTAAAACCCATTCTTATTTTTCATACTGGTCCGTCTGTCCAGTTGCCCGTTCAGACCGAGAGTCGTACGTTTAATCACCCCGCAATAGATGGCGGTGGTGGCATCTACATCTACAGAACACAAAGAACACGTGGCATTTACATCTGCAGAACATGACGCAGAACCAGTGGCATCTACATCTACAGAACGTGACGAACCAGTGGCATCTACAAAACGTGAAGAACCAGTGGCATCTACATCTACAGGAGATTATACTACTTTTGAAAGCAATTCCTCATGTTTATTCTACACGCCCTACAACGTGTTTGGAATCGACAGGAGTAAAGTTGGATGAAAAATCGACTTACGAACAAATCGACTTATGAACAGACCTCTGGATGCCTTGTATAAAGGTGTCAGTTTTGTACCAGTTTAAAGGGTAAAAACCTACTACTATATTTGCCACTGGTAAAGGAGGTCTCATAGTGTAAATGCTTACCCCGAGCTCTCAATACTCTGATAGTGCGCTGTTTTTGAGTTGTACGCCTTTTGGCGTCATCTGGTCCAACACCAATGGAGACTTGGCTCTAAGAAAAGCTGTCTCGGGTGTGGACCAATCAACTTCAAGGACAGTGCATATCATTACCATTATCAGAGTTGTTTCTTTTTGTTTGCATTTTGACTGCTTGTGTTGTGGTTATTGCAAACATGATGCCTTGTATAAAGGTGTCAGTTTTGTACCAGTTTAAAGGGTAAAAACCTACTACTACTAAAGACCTCTGGAACTTAACTCGTTCGTAAGTAGAGGCATCCCTGTACTGTGCTCTTACTATTGCCCCTTGGCGGCCTGGTGGGGAGAAAGTTGGGGGGGAGGGGGGGTGGGGACGGTGGCCGTCGGTTCGCACCTGGGCCTCCTTGGGCTGGAAGCCGGGCAGCGTGAAGCGATAGCGCTCCACAAACTCGGCAAATGTGTAACGGATGGGGTATCCCGACCTCCGGATGCGGATCGTCTCCATCATCCCTGAGTAGCGCAGCTGGCGCACGAACAGCTCCCGGTCGAAGAGCTGTGGGGATAGGGTCAGGGGGGGGGGGGCGGTGAGGAGGGCAGTGGGGGGGGGGGGGGCACGAGGGACAACGCGGAGAGAGGGAGATGGGGGAATGACGCTCAGATAGAGAGGGGGGGCAGCCAATGGGTGCACGCGGATGGGAGAACGAACCTCCTGCCCCTGGCCCGCACCCCCGATTTGTTGTCGGAATCAGAATCTTTACTTAGACTGGAGGAGGAATCCGATTAGCTTCATAGCTCTTTTGTTCACAGATGTCAAGTAAGGGGGCCACGGGGTCAGAAGGTTACCGCGACAAGCGATAGATAAACACGACAGGAGTGCAAAGAATAGGGAAGGTAAATAAATCACACAAAAATATATACGAATAAAACTACGCTATTTATTTGTATCTTACCAGGTAAGGCCCACTGAACTATCAGCTTCTTAATCGGAGGTGCGGGATTAGGACAACAAAGTAAACACAAAAAGCCGCCCGAAAAGAAATGAGTGTTCAACCTAGATTTAAAAGATGATAATAATAATAAAGCACGAGCGGGTTGAGTGATGCCCGGTCGGGAGAAAATTTAGACTGCGGCGCCGGTACAGCCGTGCCGGCAACCGTCGACGTTGCCGGAATGGCAGTGCCGGCAACTGTCGACGGAGCTGGAACAGCGGTGCCGGCAGCGTCGACGGAGCTGGAACGGCGGTACTGGCAGCGTCAACGGAACCGGAACAGCGGTGCCGGCAACCGTCGATCTCGCCGGAACGGCGGTGCCGGCAACCGTCGATCTCGCCGGAACAGCAGTGCCGGCAACCGTCGACGTCACCGGAACGGCGGCGTAGGCAACCGTCGATCTCGCCGGAACAGCAGTGCCGGCAACCGTCGATCTCGCCGGAACGGCGGTGCCGGCAACCGTCGATCTCGCCGGAACAGCAGTGCCGGCAACCGTCGATCTCGCCGGAACGGCGGTGCCGGCAACCGTCGATCTCGCCGGAACAGCAGTGCCGGCAACCGTCAATCTCGCCGGAACGGCGGTGCCGGCAACCGTCGACGCAGCCGGAACGGCGGCATAGGCAAGCATCGGCGGCGCACCAGGGGCTTCTTGACGTCGTTGGGTTTGATGCAGCGGATGAACCACGGCTGGCACAGGCCCAGCGCCTTCATGAGCTCCTCCAGCGACTTGCGGAACTGCCCGCTGAGCGTGGTGGGGCGCCGGTGCGTCAGGGTGCCGTGCACCCTCACCGAGTCGCCGGCGCGCTTGTGGAACGGAATCGAGCCCTTGTCCTGCAGCGACAGCGGCGGTGGAGGCAGCATCGGTGGAAGCAGCAGCAGCAACATTAACCAGCAGTAGCATGAGGAGGAGCAGCAGTGGGAGCAGCAGCAGCAGTAGCAGCAGCAGCAGCAGCAGGAGCAGCAGCAGCAGGAGCAGTAGCAGCAGCGTTAACCACCACCAGCAACAGCAGCAGGAGCAGCAGCAGCAGCAGCAGTAGGAGCAGCAGCAGCAGTAGCAGCAGCAGCAGCAGTAGGAGCAGCAGAAGCAGTAGCAGCGGCTTTATCTCTGCGCTCGCAATCAGCGCTGACCACGCGAGCCCACTGTCGGGGAGCGGTGCGGTGTGGTGCGGTGTGGTGTGGTGTGGTGTGCGGTGTGGTGTGGTGTGGTGGTGCGTGGGGTGTGGTGCGGTGTGGTGTGGTGTGCGGTGTGGTGGGTGCGTGTGTGCGGTGTGGTGTGGTGTGGTGTGGTGTGCGGTGTGTGGTGCGGTGTGGGTGCGGTGTGGTGTGGTGTGGTGTGCGGTGTGGTGTGGTGTGCGGTGTGTGGTGCGGTGTGGTGTGGTGCGGTGCGGTGGTGGTGTGGTGTGGTGCGGTGTGGTGTGGTGTGCGGTGTGTGGTGCGGTGTGGTGCGGTGTGGTGTGGTTTGGTGTGGTGCGGTGTGGTGTGCGGTGTGTGGTGCGGTGGTGCGGTGTGGTGTGGTGTGGTGTGCGTGTGTGGTGCGGTGTGGTGCGGTGTGTGGGTGTGCGGTGTGGTGTGGTGTGTGGTGCGGTGTGGTGTGGTGTGGTGGTGTGCGGTGGTGGTGCGGTGTGTGTGGTGTGGTGTGGTGTGCGGTGTGTGGTGCGGTGTGGTGTGCGGTGTGGTGTGGTGTGGTGTGCGGTGTGTGGTGCGGTGTGGTGTGGTGTGGTGTGCGGTGTGTGGTGCGGTTTGGTGTGCGGTGTGGTGGTGTGGTGTGCGGTGTGTGTGCGGTGCGGTGTGGTGCGGTGCGGTGTGGTGGGTGTGGTGCGGTGTGTGTGTGTGGTGCGGTGCGGTGTGTGTGGTGTGCGGTGTGTGTGGTGTGGTGGTGTGTGCGGTGTGTTGCGGTGTGGTGTGGTGTGGTGTGCGGTGTGTGGTGCGGTGTGGTGTGGTGCGGTGTGGTGTGGTGTGGTGTGCGGTGTGTGGTGCGGTGTGGTGTGGTGCGGTGTGGTGTGGTGTGGTGTGCGGTGTGGTGCGGTGTGGTGCGGTGTGGTGCGGTGCGGTGCGGTATGTGGTGTGGTGCGGTGTGGTGTGGTGTGGTGCGGTGTGGTGTGGTGTGGTGTGCGGTGTGTGGTGTGGTGCGGTGTGGTGTGGTGTGCGGTGTGTGGTGCGGTGTGGTGTGGTGTGGTGCGGTGTGGTGTGGTGTGGTGTGCGGTGTGTGGTGCGGTGTGTGGTGTGGTGCGGTGTGGTGTGGTGTGGTGTGCGGTGTGTGGTGCGGTGTGGTGTGGTGCGGTGCGGTGTGGTGCGGTGTGGTGTGGTGTGGTGTGGTGCAGAGCGGTGTGGTGTGGGGTGCGGTGTGGTGCGGAGCGGTGTGGTGCGGTGTGGTGTGGTGCCGTGCAGTGTGCGGTGTGGCTCGGTGTGCGGTGTGGTGCGGTGTGCGGTGCGGTGCAGGTTGCGGTGCGGTGCAGTGTGTGGTGCGGTGTGGTGCGGTGTGGTGTGGTGTGCGGTGCACGCACGGTGTTGAGGTCGCTGGCAAAGATGCGCGTGAGGAAAGAGTTCTTCGAGGACTGCACCAGCGCGAGGATGTCGGGGATCAGGGAGTCGCGGTTCTTCTCCAGGAACCCTGAGCGAGAGGGGGGGGGTAGGGGGGGGGACAAGCGACATCGACCATTGTCTGGTTCAGGTTTCATTGTTTGGTTCGGGTGGCCGCAGTCATGGGAGCTGTATGGATTCATCTTCTTGGTTCTTTCGGTAAAGTCACGTAGAAGGGAAATAATAAAACAATTATCACGACGTTTCGGCCACAACGCAAGCAGCCGTCCTCAGGCGAAGTACAGGCCTGTCGGAAAGACAGCGTCTGTGGCCAAAACGTCGTGAGAATTATTTTATTATGTTTTATTTTTATTATTTTATTATTTCCCTTCTAGTTGACTTTACCGAAAGAACCAAGAAGATGAATCCCTGCAGTCACGAAAGCTTTAAATCGAAAAAAAGCTGTATGGATGTTGAACTTCTTTCGCACCGTACGTAGCCAACCGTTGACCCAGCCAACGCACGCACGCTCACCCCGACTCACGCACGCTCACCCCAAACTCACACGCGCTCACCCCGACGCACGCGTGCTCACCCCGACTCACGCACGCTCACCCCGACTCACACACGCTCACCCCGACTCACGCACGCTCACCCCGACTCACACACGCTCACCCCGACGCACGCGCGCTCACCCCGATGCACGCGCGCTCACCCCGACTCACACACGCTCACCCCGACTCACACACGCTCACCCCGACGCACGCGCGCTCACCCTGACGCACGCACGCTCACCCTGACGCACACACGCTCACCCCGACTCACACACGCTCACCCCGACTCACGCGCGCTCACCCGAGCTCTCGTAGAAGACGTCCCCGGCGAAGTGCGAGATCCCGAAGCGCGTGCTGTGGTTGCTCCGGGGTGGGATGAAGTGGGCGTTCTTCTTGTGCTGCGCCGTCAACTTGGCGAGCATCGTGGCGTCCGTGCCCTGCGGAGGTAAGAGGAGGTGGGGGGGGGGCATCATTTCGTGTCGTAGTCATAGGAGAACGGGGACTCATCTACTCACGAATGAGATAGGTTCCAGAGGTACTGTTCGTAAGTCGATTCGTTCGTAAGTCCAACTTTACTCACGAACGAATCGACTTACGTACAGTACCTCTGGAACCTTTACTCCCGTCGATTACAAACATGTTGTACAGCGTGTACACTAAACACGGGGAATGGCTTTAAAAGTTGTATCATCTCCTGTAGATGTAGATGCCACTGGTTCTTCTTCACGTTCTGCAGATGTAGATGCCACTGGTTTTTCACGTTCTGTAGACGTAGATGCCACTTGTTCTTCATGTTCTGTAGATGTAGATGCCACTGGTTCTTCACGCTCTGCAGATGTAGATGCCACTGGTTCTTCACGTTCTGCAGATGTAGATGCCACTGGTTCTTCATGTTCTGTAGACGTAGATGCCACTGGTTCTTCATGTTTTCTTTAGACGTAGATCCCACTGGTTCTTCTTGTTCTGTAGACGTAGATGCGACTGGTTCTTCGCGTTCTGCAGACGTAGATGCCACAAGTTATTTACCTTCTGTAGATGTCACTACAGAACGTGGACATACGGCCCAGGTTTGTCCGTATCTATGAAAGTTCGTAAGTAGAATGTTCGTAAGTAGTGGAGTCCCCGTAGTCGCAGTCATCCAAGCCAGCAATGGGCCGTTGCGAATATCCCTCCGGGCGCTGCGATCCATCGGCCCTCGGCAGACCTCCTGGGCGCCACAGTGGCGAGGAGATGTTGCCTACCTCGCCTGGTATATAGGAGGTTGTGCATTCGATCTCGCTCAATGCCTCCTCTATATAATTGGAGCGGTCACGTTTCCCCCGCACCCCCCAGTGGACGCGTCGATTGTTTTCCTCCCCGTTTCGAATCGACGTCACGCGTTTCGAGCATTTGGCTGCCGTTGTGAATTTCCGCGCCGACGACGACGATGATGACGACGATGACAATGACGACTATGATGACGATGACGATGACGACCATGACGACGATGACGACGACGATGACGACGATGACAATGACGACCATGACGATGATGATGACGATGATGATGATGACGATGACGACGATGACGATGACGACGATGATGACGACGATGACGACCATGATGACGATGACGACGACGACGATGACGATGACGACGACGACGATGACGACGACGACGACGATGACGACGATGATGACTACGATGACGTTGATGACGACGACGAAGACGACGACGATGATGACTACGATGACGTTGATGACGAGGACGAAGACGACGATGATGATGACGACGATGACGATGACGACGATGACGTTGATGACGACAATGACGACGATGACGACGACGATGATAAGCGGCCCAATCATTTGTGGTAGCCGCGTTCGCTTCTGAAGGAGAGGCTGTGCACATAGCTGAGTGGAGCCTTACCTTGTGCGGGGGTGGGGAGCGAGGCTCAAGCCATCTATCCACGAGGTTTAAAACGAGCAGCAGTGGCGTCGGTCGCGGTTCGAACCTGCGGGAATTTGCTCTCCTCGTCGATGAGCGCGATGAGGTTGAGCGGGCGGCTGGAGATCATGTCGAGGGCCTCCTGGTTGTCCGTGAAGGTGATGTTCTTCCACGAGATGGACTCTCGCTCGTACTCCTCCTGCTCCAGCTTGAAGATGTGTCCCACGAAGAACTGCTGCAGCGCCTCGTTGGCCAGGTTGATGCAGAACTGCTCGAAGCTGCGACGAGGTGGTACCGGGGGGGGGGAGGAGGACGAGGAGACACGGGTGAGAACTCAAGAGACCAAGATAGGGGTGGGTGAGTGGGTGGGTGAGTGAATAAATGAATGAGATGATGAATGAATGAGTTGAAGAGTTACAAGTTGATTCTGTGTAGCCGGGGGAGAACTCAAGAGACAAGGATAGGGGTGGGTGGGTGAATGAGTGGGTGGGTGAGTGGTTGGGTGGGTGAGTAGTTGGGTGGGTTGGTGAGTGGTTGGGTGGGTGCGTGAGTGGGTGGGGGAGTGGTTGGGTGGGTGGGTGAGTGGTTGAGTGGGTTGGTGAGTGTTTGGTTGGGTGGGTAAGTGAGTGGGTTGGTGAGTGGTTCGGTGGGTGGGTGAGTCTTTGGGTGGGTGGGTGAGTGAGTGGCTAAATGAATGAGATAATGAAAGAATGAGTTCATGAATTCCAAGTTAATTCTGTGTAACCGGCTGAGAACTCAGGAGACCCGGGATAGGAGTCTCATTTTTGACGAGCGAGTGAGTGGGTGAGTGGGTGAGTGAGTGAGTGGGTGAGTGAGTGGGTGAGTGAGTGTGTAAGTGAGTGGGTGGGTGGATGACCGACTGACTGCCTGACTAAATGAGTGTACAAATGAACGAGATGATGACCCGCGGAGGGACGAGATGGACATGCGGAGGGGAGGGTGGGACACACACACACACACCTGTTCGTCTGGAAGTTCTCGAAGCCGAAGATGTCGAGGAGGCCGATGGAGCGTCGCTCCTCCTCCTGCTCGCCGCCGCCGCGAGAGGGCGGCTTGTACACGATGGAGTTCATCTTGTCCACGATCCACACGAACATCTTGCCGTAGATCGCCTGCGACAAGGGGTTGGGGCAAGTGGCCAGGAGTGAAAGGGCGCGGCAGCAGCGGGCGCGGATCCGGCAGCTTTGTTCGGCTCGATCCTGTGAACGAAGGAGGGCTTCCTGGGAGAGAGAGAGAGGCGTTTTGAAATGACCGCCCGAACGGTCGCGGTGGAGCGGAACGAATTAAATAACGAGATGAACGAAGCGGAGCGATCAGTTGCCTTCCCGTATCCACGTCTTTCTCTCTCTCTCCCCTTCTTTCCACGTAAGAAAGAAAATGAAAGGTTCGTTCCTCCCGATGGGATGAGATGATGCATTTCACGAGTTGGCGTTGCTATGCCACGTCGCGCTGAATCAGGACCCAAGTAAAGCCCGGCACTGCTGATGAGACACAGAGCTTTGAAACCAGTCTTGCCTGGTACGATTTGGCAGTCTTGTCGGCATTGATTCAAGTAAAGCCAGACACTGCTGGTGAGACACTGAGTGTTGAAACCAGTCCTTGCCTGGTACGATTTGGCAGTTCCGCCAGCATTGATTCAAGCAAAGCCTTGCTCTGCTGATGAGGCACTGAATGTCTAATCGGTGGAGATTTTGCTTGCCTTGAATCAATGTTGCAAAAAATGCAGCACTCCCAGAATGCCGTGCGGTTCATGGGTTATTTGGAGTGAACTTTGGCCTAGTTATGCAGGCTGGCCAGACGTTCAATTCTAGATGTTGAAGGACCCACATTGTATCTCACCGCACGAGACCTGCCGAGCGACTAGCCGTGGTGGTGCACCCATTGATACTGCTGAGTGGGTACAGGCGGGTTAATTATAGCAACAACGGTGGCTAGGAGATGTTAACTACCTCGCCTGGTATGCAGGAGATCGTGGGTTCGATCTCAATGCCTGCTGCGTAATTGTATTTTGAGTTTCTCTCTCGCAGTGGTCGCGTGGATTTTTCTCCGGGTCCTCCGGTTTTCCCCTCCACGTTTAGACTCAACGTCACGCGTTCAGAGTGTTTGCCCTCGCCTATAAAATGTCTACATGATGATAATGATGATAATTCACTGCGTTGAGCTATCATTTTAAATGGCCAAGTCGCTTCTGAAAGATTAAAAAAAGATCCACGTAACTCAGCGGCGTCCTCAGCTGGGTAAAATAAAAAGTAAATCGTTTTCATCGTTTCGGGTTTTTTTATCTTCATAAATTAGGGGCCATCCATAAATGATGTCACGCTGTTTTGTACGATTTTTGACCCCCCCACCTTTGTCACACGGCGTCACAAAAAGTCAGACCCCCCCTCAAATATGACGTCACAAAGCTCTGCCCCCCCCCAAAAAAAAATAAAACATGCTTCAAATCGCTTTAAACTATTGTTAATGTGGCGCTGCACTCGGATGTTGCAGGAGAAAACATTAAAAAGTCTATTTAATTAATCAGAACGTGTTGTCTATATTTATTTAAAGTTGCGCATTTTGACGTGACGTCACATTTCTCAACCCCCCCCCCCCTCGTCACACATCGTCACAAACGTCTGACCCCCCTCCCCCCCCTAGGTGCGTGACGTCATTTATGGACGTCACGTCCCCTTACCTTCACGAAGGCGTTCCGGACCTCCTGAGTCTGCGCCATGCTGAGCAGCGTCGTCACCTTCTCCCCACGCATCAGCATCACCTTCTTGGTGAGGCACTCTTGAACCTCGGCCTCATCCACCTGCAGCGGACCACGGCTGAGTAAAACTCCTCCCCTCTCACTCAACCCCCACCCCACCCACCCACCACCACTCACAACATCTTTTTAAATCCTTTATATTAAGTTCAATTGCTTGCGCGCTTGCTTACGACCGTGCAAATCTTTCGGTCGTTTTTTAACCCACTTCCCGTGATCCAATCGAGCTGACATTTTGCACACAGACTCGTTGTGCGTGACAATTTATTTTCGTGAAATTTTTTTCCAAAATGTTTCACTTGTTAGGAAAAAAAAATTTTCATATTAAATTTAAAATACCAATGTGATAAAAATGAAACTCTTACTCAAGAAAAACAGAAATGAATAATAAAATAAAACCGATGCCACGCATATAAAGGATTTATAGTGAAAAACTTTGTTTTTACGGGTTACTTTTTTCCACCGGGCAAAACCGTGCCGTGCCGGGGGTAACCGGCGCCGATGACGTCGCGCTCGGTGAACGGTCGGAGAGAGACACGCGGCGTGCCGACCGACGTCACAATCAAACAAAGACAAAGATCCCCAGCCCGCCCCCCGTGTAGCCTTAACGGACTGTCGGGGCAAGTGCTGTTAGCGAGTAGCGCCTATGAAGGCCGGCACGGCACACGAGGGGGTGGGTGGCCAGGGTGTCCCAGCCCAAAAAAATATCTAAATTTGAAAACTCATTTCCTGCCTAAAATATTAAAAAATTCACTAACACATGGGATGGACTTTTTATTTATTTTTTACAATAATGTCTAATAGTGTATTGTATTACATTGCTCTGTTTTTACTTTTTTTTACCATTTCTTGTTTCATTGTATGTAATTGCAGAGATTAGGGATTAATAAAGTACAACCATAACCACAATCATATGAAGAGAAATCTATGCATTGTTATATGAAGACAAGTCCAGATATTGTGGCCAAGGTTCAGCAAATAGTTGTTTTTATTTACATAGCATAGCCATTTTTTTATATAGCAATATATTGGGAGGGGGGCATTTTGAGCATATTTGAATATTGGGGAGGGGGGCTGTGTCCCCCCTCCCCAATATATATTATAATTACGGCCTTGCCGTGAACGCATCGGCGGTGGATTTGGGGGAGTTGCTTGAAGTCACCTCGAGAAGCTTGGAGGCCCAGGTCAGGTGGTCGTTGGTGAGAATTTCGCAGCACTCGATGTTGCTGCTCACCGTGCCTGTCGGGGTCACAGATGCAAAGGTCCATCACATCGCCTTCAGCAGACTGGTCAGCGCAAGGGCCCAGTGAGCGAGCCGGCACCTACGAAGGCCGCCGCCGCGGCCGCGCGGACATCGCGGTTTGCGTGGCCTTCCCCAGTGGCGATGCTTACACATTTGACACTACCGCCTACTCGTTTAAGGCTGAGTCGACCTAGGGGGAAGGCCCAGGAACTGGTGTTTTGGTGGCCGTTAGTGGGAATCGCCACTCGGGTCTCTGGGTTCAGAAGAGCGCATGGCGCTAACCGCTGCGCGAGCTCGAACGGCTTACGGGAGCGCCGTTACTGCCGCCGGCAGCAGCATCTAAACCAGCGGTTCGTCTTCTGAACCTGGGGTGCATCACGTGCCCACTGGGGGTGCGAGGTGCCCTTTGCGGGGGTGCGGGACATGGCCAGGTTATTTTAGAAGGCAAATTATCTAAAATATAAATTAAGCACGGGCACGTGTGTACAACTGATTTTTCGATTGAAAGCTTTCGTGACTGCAGGGATTCATCTTCTTGGTTCTTTCGGTAAAGTCATGTAGAAGGGAAATAATAAAATAATATTTTATTATATTTTTTATTATATTATTTTATTATGTTGTATTTTTATTATTTTATTATTTCCATTCTACGTGACTTTACCGAAAGAACTAAGAAGATACAACTTATTTGTTTAATCAAACCTATGTGCCTATTAACATTATATATTTTTAACGATTGAGAACCAAAGGGGTGCAAGGCTGCAGTAGGTAAAAAAAAACACTTATCTATGCCATATGATTTGTTTAATTTTACGAGATAGGGCCCACTGAGCTATTCCGTAAACGGCGGTCAGAGCCGTTGAACTCTGTTAATGATCTTGCTACTTTTATTAGGATGAAGTGAAACTCTATTCTTTAGGTCTTTCAGTAAAGTCGCGTAGATAGGTTCAAAGAAAATACCAAAAATTACGACGTTTCAATCACAACAACAATCTGATAACGATCACTTGTGTTGTGATCTAAACGTCGTAGTTTTTTGTTAATTTCTTTGAACCTATCTACGCGACTTTACCGAAAGACCCAAAGAATATTAATTCCTGCAGTCACGAAATTATTTGAAGTGAAACTCATTGGAAACTATTTTTATTTTACGAGGTGAGGCCTCACAGAGCCATACGGCTCTTTATCAGAAGCGACCTGTCTATCACAAATGATAGTTCAACGAATTGGGCTCATCATCATCATCATCACGTGGAAGTTGTATACCAGCCAAATACTCTCAACGCGTGTGACGTTAATTCTAAATGTGGAGGGGAAAACCGGAGAAAAATCCACTCGACCACGGGGAGAGAGAGAGAGAGGACACACAAACTACAAATATACAGCAGCAGGTATCGTCAGGGTTCGGATGTAAACCACAACCGCCTGTATACCAGGCGAGGTGGTTAACATCTCCTAGCCACCGTGATGATGATGAGAGAGACACGCAAACTCCAAATATACAGCAGCAGGCGTCGTCAGGCTCGGGATCGAAACCACAACTTCCTGTATACCAGACGAGGTCGTTAACATCTCCCAGCCACCGTGATGATGATGATGAGAGAGAGACACGCAAACTCCAAATATACAGCAGCAGGCGTCGTCAGGGTTGGGATCGAAACCACAACCTCCTGTATACCAGGCGAGGTCGTTAACATCTCCCAGCCACCGTGATGATGATGAGAGAGAGACACGCAAACTCCAAATGTACAGCAGCAGGCATCGTCAGGGTAGGGGTTGAACCCACGACCTCCTGTATACCCGCCGCCATGGCGATTGCTCGCCCGCACCTTGCAGCTTGAGGTTCCCCAGGTGCAGGATGCTCGCCAGCATCTTGGAGATGTCCAGGTACTCGGTCTCGGAGAAGGCGAGCACCTTCATCGCGGAGCGGATGCTCGCGAAATCCTTGAGGTCGTCGCGCCCGTCGCAGCGCGTGCAGTTGCCCTGCGGCGACGGTCACGGCACGGGGGAAGAAAAGAAATATAAATATCCGTCGGCTGACAATGTTTCTTTTTGTTTGATTTATTTTTGTTTTGGTGGCACGCGAAGAGAGAGAGAGAGAGAGACAGGACGATTTGAGAGAGAGGGAGGACGACTCAGAGAGAGAGAGGGCGACTCAGGGAGAAAGAGGACAACTCAGAGAGAGAGGATAACTCAGAGAGAGAGGGGACGACGGAGAGAGAGAGGACAACTCAGAGAGAGAGGATGACTCAGAGAGAGAGGGGACGACGGAGAGAGAGAGGACAACTCAGAGAGAGAGGACGACTCAGAGAGAGAAAGGACTACTCAGAGAGAGAGGGGACAACTCAGAGAGAGAGGACGACTCAGAGAGAGAGAGGACAACTTAGAGAGAGAGGACGACTCAGAGAGAGAGAGGACAACTCAGAGAGAGAGGACAACTCAGAGAGAGAGGACGACTCAGAGAGAGAGAGGACGACTCAGAGAGAGAGAGAGGACACCTAAGAGAGAGAGAGAGAGGACGACTCAGAGAGAGATAGGACGACTCAGAAAGAGAGGGGACGACTCAGAGAAAGAGGACGACTCAGAGAGAGAGAACGACTCAGAGAGAGAGAGGACGACTCAGAGAGAGAGAGAGGACAACTCAGAGAGAGAGAGGACAACTCAGAGAGACAGGACGACTCAGAGAGAGAGGGGACGACGGAGAGAGAGAGAGAGAGAGGGGACGACTCAGAGAGAGAGAGGACAACTCAGAGAGAATGGACGACTCAGAGAGAGAGAGGACTACTCAGAGAGAGAGGGGACAACTCAGAGAGAGAGAGGACTACTCAGAGAGAGAGAGGACTACTCAGAGAGAGAGGGGACAACTCAGAGAGAGAGAGGACGACTCAGAAAGAGAGGGGACAACTTAGAGAGAGAGAGGACGACTCAGAGAGAGAGGACGACTCAGAAAGAGAGAGGACGACTCAGAGAGAGAGAGGACTACTCAGAGAGAGAGGGGACAACTCAGAGAGAGAGAACGACTCAGAAAAAGAGGACGACTCAGAGATAGAGAGGACCACTCAGAGAGAGAGTGGACGACTCAGAGAGAGAGATGACGACCCAGAGGCTCCAAGAGAAGGAACCACTGATGATCAGAAAGTCACCCACGCGATGAGCCGGTGACAATTGGCCAAACTCAGCGGTCCTCAATATATATTAAGGTGCCATCAGCCAATTTATCAGGCCGGCTTTTTCGTGTTATTTTGTCACCATCGATTAGCACGGTTGGCTATGTACAACCCTAAATAAATTTAACGTGGAACAATGATGAGCGTTCACACGCGGGACAAAAACCAGAGCGTCCGGAGACAGCCCACACGTGTGCGAGGGGGAAACGCTCTATCCTCCACAGGTGGAACAGGTGGAGTCCACATCCTTGCCTCCTGGCAGCGCCAGGGTTGTGGCTCATCCTCCTCCTCGACGCCTACCCACGGGAAGGGAGTTCCTGTGCTGCGTCAATCCACCAACCCTCGCAGCCGCACAGTCGACCACGCACGGCGCGGTAGAAGTCCAACATACGTGCCGGATCGAGGTCTCATGACCATCTGGATCGAGGTCTCATCACCATCTGGATCGAGGTCTCATCGACATCTGGATCGAGGTCTCATCACCATCTGGATCGAGGTCTCATCACCATCTGGATCGAGGTCTCATGACCATCTGGATCGAGGTCTCATGACCATATGGATCGAGGTCTCAACACCATCTAGATCGAGTTCTCAACACCATCTGGATCTAGATCTCATCACCATCTGGATCGAGGTCTTATCACCATCTGGATCTAGATCTCATCACCATCTGGATCTAGATCTCATCACCATCTGAATCTAGATCTCATCACCATCTGGATCTAGATCTCATCACCATCTGGATCTAGATCTCATCACCATCTGGATCGAGGTCTCATCACCATCTGGATCTAGATCTCATCACCATCTGGAGCAAGTCCTCATCACCATCTGGATCTAGATCTCATCACCATTTGGATCGAGGTCTCATCACCATCTGGATCGAGGTCTCATCACCATATGGATCAAGTCCTCATCACCATCTGGATCAAGTCCTCATCACCATCTGGATCTAGATCTCATCACCATCTGGATAAAGTCCTCATCACCATCTGGATCGAGGTCTCTTAACCATCTGGATCGAGGTCTCATCACCATCTGGATCTAGATCTCATCACTATCTGGATCGAGATCTCATCACCATCTGAATCGAGGTCTCATCGCCATCTGGATCGAGGTCTCATCGACATCTGGATCGAGATCTCATCACCATCTGGATCAAGGTCTCATCACCATCTGGATCTAGATCTCATCACCATCTGGATCAAGGTCTCATCACCATCTAGATCTATATTTCATCGCCATCTGGATCGAGTCCTCATCACCATCTGGATCTAGATCTCATCACCATCTGGATCGAGGTCTTATCACCATCTGGATCGAGGTCTCATCACCATCTGGATCGAGGTCTTATCACCATCTGGATCGAGGTCTCATCATCATCTGGATCGAGTCCTCATCACCATCTGGATCGAGGTCTCATCACCATCTGGATCGAGATCTCATCACCATCTGGATCGAGGTATCATCACCATCTGGATCGAGGTCTCATCGCCATCTGGATCGAGATCTCATCACCATCTGGATCGAGGTCTCATCACCATCTGGATCGAGATCTCATCACCATCTGGATCGAGGTCTCTTAACCATCTGGATCGAGATCTCATCACCATATGGATCGAGGTCTCTTAACCATCTGGATCGAGGTATCATCACTATCTGGATCAAGGTCGTCATCGTCAAGCGCATTACTTAAGGCTGCCCCCTCTTCCCCCCCCCCTGCTTATCCGCGGCAACGTGTCGGCAAAAAGTCCCAGGCGCCGGAGGTCACCGTGGTGAGGAAGGCGTAGTCCGCCGGCTTCCCGAGGCCCAGTCTCTTCTTTTGTTCGTCACTCGAGCCGAGCAGTAGGCAGTAGAAGATGTGGTAGTTGCGCTCCTGCTCGGCCTGCGTTGTTGCGTGGGGAAATATAAAAGGGTGGGAGTCAAAGAAAGTGCCGCATCCCCACCAACCCCTCCTCCCCCCCCAACCGCTGAGTGACAACGACTTTATTCGGACAGAGGACGACTCAGAGAGAGAGAGGATGACCCAGAGGGTCCAGGATGAGCCGGTGACAACAATTGCCCGAGCTCTGCGATCCTATCAGCCAATAATTATCAGCCGGCTTTTTTTTTTGTGACAGTATCCGAATAATGTGGTCACTGTGTGCCTCAACGACATTGTTCGGATAGCATCGGACAGTATTCGAATAATGTCACTAGACAAACAGTAACCACAAAACAAAACGAGCGCTCGTGAAAAGTGGAGTAAAAAAAGTCGGCCTGTGCGCATTGTATTCATGTCGCCAGTGAACACAGATCAACGAAAGCTTGTTGTGTAGGCGGGTTTACGACGGCGTGTGGCTGTTATTGTGCAGGATGCGGTGCCTTGGTTGCCGTGGCTGATTTGTAGAGTCGTGTCAGCTGATTTTTAATTGTCCTCGAGGCTTTTGGCGGTCTTAATTTTAGGCTATGCGTTAATTGTGTGTTGACCAACCCTCTGTGTTGTATTACATTATATTTTGCTAGGTTATTGAATTTTAGTTTGTCCTTCTGATTTTCAGACTTGCTTGCCGTGTCATCGCACTTGCAGAACCTTGTTTTTTGGACCACTCATTGATATGCAAATGTTTTCTCCAACCCCCTCCCTCTCTCTGCCTCCTCCCCCCTCTGTCTATTTAAGGCCACCCCACAGAGACGATCACCCCTCTCTGTACCTGTGTTGCTCCCTCTATGTATCTTGGTGATATCTGTCTGCTAATATGTCTGTCTATAGTTTTCTGGTTAGATTTTATGTCGCTATTTCATTATACCTGATGATGATTGCTTGTGTTGCAATCGAAACGTCGTATGCTATTATTTAATTTTAATTTATTATTTTATCTTTAGACGTGACTTAACCGAAAGAACCAAATAATCAAGCTTTTGGCGGTGTCTATGGGGTTGTGTCGTGTGGACTTGAGCGTCACGGGGACAGCATTTGAGTGCTTTGTTGCTGTGTTTAGTATTGTTTATAAATGCCTGCCGTTGGTTCATTCGTAGGTTCATTCAGACGCTGTCTTTCCGACAGCCCTGTTCTTCACCTGAGGGACGGCTGCTTGCGTTGTGGCCGAAGCGTCGTGAGAATTGTATTTTATTATGTTTTATTTTTTATTATTTTATTATTTCCCTTCTACGTGACTTTACCGAAAGAACCAAGACGATGCCTGCCGTTGTTAGATAAGACAGTTGTATCACTGTCGCGGGAAGGCCAATAGCACGACCATCTTTTCAGAGGTCACTCACAACAGCCCACCTCGTGGAAATATTACAAGCCTCCACTGTCGGATACAAAGTAGAGGGTTTTTTTGGGTAGGAGTAGCACGGTTGGACCTGGGCCCTGGTGCTAGGTATGAAATGAGGGGGCCCTATATCTGCCTGTCTCCATCCATTCACTGGACATCTGTGGAAAAAAATAGCTTTACATCTCATCGGATTCCTTTGGTATGAAAAAATTGTCTGATGATGATCATGATGACAATGATGGTGACGATGACGACCACGTTGACGACAACGATATTGATGATGACACTGACGGCGATGGGTACCTGCCCACACACGCGCGTCTTCTCCAGGAGGTACTGCTCGATGCGTGCTCCCTCGATGACGCTTTTCTCGTTGAAGTGAATCTCCACGTACTTCCCGAAGCGGCTCGAGTTGTCGTTCCGGATCGTCTTGGCGTTGCCGAAGGCTGCGGCACAGCAGGCGGCACGTGGTTATCATTTTCTTATTATCATCATTATTATTATTATTATCGTATCGTACGTTCATATAGCGCCTTAGCCAAGGCTCTGTACGGTGAACTAACCACGGTACAAGACGGTTGGCGAGATGACACTACATGAGCGGATGGGATGTGTGTAAAAATTTTCAATGATATAATATAGTATTGTCATCAGGATGACATACGTATAACAAGTTAGCAGTCGATACCACATTGGGAAGTGGGTTAAAATTGAGTTACAAGATTTGAGGATACGTCAACAGACAGAGTTGATTATAGAACAGACAGAGCGAGTTATATAAAAGCGTGAAAATAAGTATAACCAGTAAAAACAAAGTTTTTCACTATAAATCCTTTATATGCGTGGTGGCTAAAGTCCTCTCGTCCTCTGGCTTGAGATGGCTGCCACCAATGGGTCAGATGATTGCCTGCCACCATTAAGCAATTGGTAATTAAATATAATAATTTTTTTTTTCCTAAAAAGTGTAAAACCTTGGAAAAAAATTTTCACGAAAATTAATTGTCACGCACAACGAGTCTGTGTGGAAAATGTCAGCTCGATTGGATCACGGGAAGTGGGTTAAAAAACGACAGAAAGATGTGCACGGTCGTAAGCGCACAACCAAGCAAGCAAGTGAACTTAATATAAAAGATTTAAAAATGAGGCGGTGGTGACGACGCGTGGAATGATTGTCGCGGTTATTACGCCACCCGCCGGTATTAATCATGGCGGCAGCGTGTGAACCTCGTGTGCGATACGGCCAGCACAGTGTTCGGGGTCTCCGGCCCAAAGACCTGGAACACGCTACCAGCTCACGTTCGAGGGGTCTATCCCTGAGTTGTTGTCGTTGTTGTTGTTTCAGAGAGCCTACTTCAACGTGTGATCAGTGCGCATCCGTGATGGACTGGACTCATAAGAGTGTGCAATATCAAATGTTCTTACTTACCTACGTCCATACATTACGTTCACGAAGCAGTTTAACACGTAGGCTTTCCTGACCAATAATCATCCATAACAGACTGTAAAAGTTGTGGCTTGGCTCCCCAACACAGCGGCGTGCTGTACTAGTGACGAATTGGCCACGTTCTGTTTACGTGACGACCCTTACTAGTTGCCTGTGCCGGGTGGTGGCGGGTTTAACGACACATTTATATATTTACGCGTTCACGAAGCAGTCCACAAAGAGTCGCGTGCGTCACCGGAGGCGGCAGGTTGCCGGCCCCCTGACCTAGCTCACGTTCACTCGGATCCGAGTTCATGTATGTTACCCGGGGGGCCCTCCGTCACACTCTTTTCTCGCCACTCTCTAAGAATTCGCCCGCTTCACTGAATCACTTAAGCGCGAGAGCCCGCAGTGCAAAAAACGTGAATGACGACACGACACGGTCCACGAGGAACCGACGGGCGCGTTCGGCTCTGGAGCTGCGCACCTTCGAGGATGGGGTTCGCCTCCAGGATCTGCTGTTCCACCCAGGAGTGCTGACCGCTCACGGCCGCCAGGAACTGCAGGATGAGCTTGGTGCTCTCCGTCTTGCCAGCGCCGGACTCCCCGCTGTGGGCAGGGCAGGGTCAGGAGCCGAGAGGTCAAAATGCCATTGAGATCGCGTCCCACCCTCGCCGTTGCTTCCTTCATTTCTTCCTTGCGACAGATCGCGCAGCAGCAGTCGTAAAAACATTCGACATCTGATTTTCATGAGGTCTTACGATCTCCAAGATCTGGTGGCCATCCAGGTCTCATGACCATCTGGATCTAAGTCCTCATCACCATCTGGATCAAGTCCTCATCACCATTTGGATCCAAATCTCATCACCATCTGGATCTAGGTCTCATCACCATCTGGATCAAGTCCTCATCACCATCTGGATCGAGGTCTCTTAACCATCTGGATCGAGGTCTCTTAACCATCTGGATCGAGGTCTCATCACCATCTGGATCTAGGCCTCATCACCATCTGGATCTAGATCTTATCACCATCTGGATCAAGGCCTCATCACCATCTGGATCAAGGTCTCATCACCATTTGGATCGAGGTCTCATCACCATCTGGATCGAGGTCTCATCACCATCTGGATCGAGGTCTCATCACCATCTGGATCGAGGTCTCATCACCATCTGGATCGAGGTCTCATCACCATCTGGATCTAGGCCTCATCACCATCTGGATCGAGGTCTCATCACCATTTGGATCGAGGTCTCATCACCATCTGGATCGAGGGTCTCATCACCATCTGGATCGAGGGTCTCATCACCATCTGGATCGAGGTCTCATCACCATCTGGATCGAGGTCTCATCACCATCTGGATCTAGGCCTCATCACCATCTGGATCGAGGTCTCATCACCATCTGGATCGAGGTCTCATCACCATCTGGATCGAGGTCTATCACCATCTGGATCTAGGTCTCATCACCATCTGGATCGAGGTCTCATCACCATCTGGATCAAGGCCTCATCACCATCTGGATCTAGGCCTCATCACCATCTGGATCTAGGCCTCATCACCATCTGGATCTAGATCTCATCACCATCTGGATCGAGGTCTCATCACCATCTGGATCTAGGTCTCCATCACCATCTGGATCGAGGTCTCATCACCATCTGGATCGAGGTCTTATCACCATCTGGATCTAGGTCTCATCACCATCTGGATCGAGGTCTCATCACCATCTGGATCAAGGCCTCATCACCATCTGGATCTAGGCCTCATCACCATCTGGATCTAGGCCTCATCACCATCTGGATCTAGATCTCATCACCATCTGGATCGAGGTCTCATCACCATCTGGATCTAGGCCTCATCACCATCTGGATCTAGGCCTCATCACCATCTGGATCGAGGTCTCATCACCATCTGGATCGAGGTCTCATCACCATCTGGATCTAGGTCTCATCGACAAATGCTCCAACTGTGCCCCCCACGTCACAAACCTCATACTTACAGCCCCCAAAAGAGCTTCACAGCTCATCGGATTGCCCCCCCCCCCACCCCCCACCCCTTGCCACGTGACTGCCCACCCTCTCACCTGATGATGCAGCACTGGTTGCGCTCGTTGCGCCGCATGTTGAAGTGGGCGTTGTCGGCGAGCGCGAAGATGTGTGGCGGCAGCTCGCCCACCTTGCGCCCACGGTACTGCTGGATCGCCTCGGGCGAGTAGACGTTCAGCGTCTTGTAGGGGTTCACGGCGACCAGGATGGAGCCCGTGTACGTCTGCACGCGCGCCCCACAGCGACAGCGGGTGTTGTCACGGGAATGGCACTGGGAGCTATGGGCACGGTGGCGTGATGTTTAACTACCTCGCTGGTATGCAGGAGGTCGTGGATTCGATCATGACCCTGATGCCTGCTGCTGTATATTTGGAGTTTGCGTGTCTCTCTCATCATCATCACGGTGGTTAAGAGATGTTACCAACCTCGCCTGGTATGCAGGAGGTCGTGGGTTGGTTCCCGACCCTGACGCCTGCTGCTGTATATTTGGAATTTGCGCGTCTCTTTCTCGCTCCACGTGGTCGTGTGCTATTTTTCCCCGGGTCCTCCAGTTTCTCCCTCCACCATTAGAAACGTGTGCGTGTGTGAATGTGTGTACACTTGGGAGACAAAGGCGGCCGGGCGTGGGCTGGCCACCCACCCCCTCGTGTGCCATAGGTGCTTACTACAGCACTTGCCCCAACGGTCTGTTAAGGCTATACGGGGGACTTTGTCTTAGTTTGTATGTACACACATAGCGCGCACGTACACTGAGTGCGTGTGTATGTGCGTTCACACGCTTAGTGCGTATGGGTGTACACACGTACAATGAGACCCTCTCTACACACACAGAGCGCGCGTACGTGCGTGCGTGTACGCTCAGTGTACGCTGTGTGCACCCACGTATATGAAGGCCTCCCGGTATCGCGTTGAGCAGGTTGCGAAGAATTCCCTCCTCGTGCAGGGTCCCCAGGCGGATCATGTCCTCCACGCCCGTCACCGACGTCGGGTGCATCATCCGGATGAGGCTCTCGTTGGCCGGAGTAACCCAATGCTCCTGCAGCACATTGGGACGCGGGCACAGCGGTGACAGCATCGACACGACGACGTTAACGACAGCGGTGACGGTGGTGACGGTGGTGACGGTTGGTGACGGTCGTGACGGTGGTTGATGGTGGTGATGGTCGTGACGGTGGTGACGTGCGTTGACGGTGGTGATGGTGGTGACGGTGGTGATGGTGGTGATGGTGGTGACGGTGGTAACGGTGGTGACGGTGGCGGGACCAGCAGTGACGGTGGTGACGGCGGGTGACGGTGGTGACGGCGGTGACGGTGGTGACGGTGGTGACGGTGTGGTGACGGTCGTGACGATGTGTGATGGTGGTGATGGTCGTGACGGTGGTGACGGCGTGACGGTGACGGTGGTGACGGTGGTGACGTGGTGACGGTGGTGACGGTGGTGACGGTGGGTGACAGCAGTGACGGTGGTGACGGTGGTGACGGTGGTGACGGTCGTGACGGTG